CTACACGAAAAGAAATGCTTATTAATATGCTGCACTGAGATCAATTTTAGTACTAATCAAGGTAGACTCCAAATAAGCCTAAAAGTACTTACGAATCAGAAAGGTCAGTAAGGTAATATGGATATCGAAATGACGAGTGTTTTCTTTATCTGTACCCTGCTGCTCTTCCGCCTCTGTGCTCCTGCTCCTGCTCCTGCTCCTGTTGTTTGCCATCTTGTCGACTGGGTGTTTGCCACAACGTAATTGATGTCGGGACCCCGGGAACGACCTCTGACCCCTGCTGCACCTGCTGGCTGCCAGCGAACCCACTGTGCGAGTTAATTGAATAATAGACGTTTATGTTTTATGTACCCCAGCACCACACAGCCAGTTTGCGGCTATCTATAAGTACACACATTTATTTTCACACAAATGTGTTTCGCTGGTATATATATGTATATAATATATAGATATATATAGATGTATATATATCTGCGGGCCTCCCTTTCCATATTTTTGTATATGCGCTGGCATATCTGTGTGATTTATGGCGCCCATGAGGCCATTTAGGCGAACAAATTCCAGCAAAGCAGCAACGGCATACAAAATCTGTCTAAAATTGTTCTCTTCCACTCAATATCTGAGTTTGAATCAAATGGATCGAAGGGGAAGTCCTCCTTCTGGCCTTTTCTGCCTCCTTGCAAGCATCTCACTGATTTTTCAGTTTAAAGCTGAGTTTGGTAAATGCTGTAAACGGTGAATCCACTTTGAAAAACTCAAATTTGTTAAGATGAAAGGAATAATTTAATGTTTATATTTTTTCATTTCTGTTAAAAGGAACAACTTTAAGGATCAAACTTGATTTCTTAACTAAACATCGTTGTCTGCCTGGCAAATGAAAAGCCACAATGCGCGAGGTGCCCATGTGGTCATTTGCCCGCCTCTTAAGAAAACGTGTTCAAAAGTATGGCTGGGTTGTCCGGCGTCCCAATTTAAAAACTTGGCCTTCTGTCCAGATGCGGTGGACACAAACTGATGCACCAGGGAGCCCTCACGCCTGATGCCAAGCCAATAGTTTTCGGATTCTACAAGTTTCGAACGAATAGCGTCCAGCTCTTGTTGGCTTTGGAACGAAGCTAAGTAGCCGCCCATTTGGCGACAAGTACTTCCAGCGGATTCCCAATCCAGGCGTTCGGTTTTCTCAACGTAAAAATATCTAGAACCAATCTTCTGGAACTTTGGGGGTATGCTAAATGCCGAAGTCTCGTGTTTTGCGGCCAGAGATGACTGGATTCTACTTAGTTTTGAATATATGTCGTTGAGCTTTTCTTCAACCCTGTCCAGTTGAGTTGCCTCGCCAAGGCTAAGCAGGAAAAGATTAACAAATCCGAACAAAATAAGTTTCCTTGGCTTGAACATTTTATATGTGAGCAACCACTCCAGACGAAGGCTTCTAATTGACTGAATTTCTGGATTGGAATGCCTTAACAGGGAAGGGCCTTACTATTCTTAAAACGCAATTGCAAGATTTTATTCCAGCTGTACGCTATGATTGGCTCGTTCTTATCGTTTTTGGTGGCTTTGGAATTTGCAAACATCCCAATCTGCTATCCAACAAATACACTTTCCCTCATCCGAAACATATAAGTTGTTTTGATGATAACCAAAGTGGATTTTGGGAACTATATTCCTCAGTGCATGGAGCAGCTTGCTGGGCCATTATCCCAATCAGTTAAATGATGTTTGTAATTTCACTTGACAGCCCTGACGTTCGCTTTTATGTGCCCTTCCTTCGAGCCGCCCCCTGTTGCCTAAACATATTTTTTAATGACTTAACAATTGATGGCTTTTTGGGTCGTCGTCGCAGCAATTGCGTTTTTACGATGCCTCTTGAAAGGCAAAAAAAGACATGAGCTTACATCCAATGTCGGGACACCTTCCCCAACGCCCCTTGGAGGGAAAAGCTGTGGGCGGTGAGGGACGGGGAAGCGAGCGAGGGAACCCATCAATAATAACGTAAACATTTCGGCAAATCGCTTTACAATTTGCCCAACCGAGAAGAAAGGAAAAGAGGCGCACATTTTCCTGAGCCTTTCCTTTTTGAGAGTCTGTTTTCCGAGCTGAGCTATTATTGTTATCAGCATGTAATCAGCAGGCAGAGCAGAGGGAAGTTCCCTGAGAAAACTTTGCCCTCGAAATGCGAGTGCCGACTGCAAAGTGTCCGGACTGTCAACGAATTTCGACCTTGGACTTTCTCCCAGGACTTCCATCTGCAAAGTTTCCCTCAGTTTCGGCTGCATTCTAGGCTTGTTCTTCCGTTCTTCTGTTTGTTTTCCTCCTTTCAGCTATGCAAATCCGCCTGGAAAGTTTTCAATTGCCTATGGAAAATAGATGAGGCTAGCGGCTGACTGCCAATTTATGGCTCCCAATAGCTTTAAAATCGTTCCTTCCCGGTTCTTACTTTACACGGAATTCTAAATTTAGTTGGCAGCCTTGCCCCTTCGCCTATTAAATATGCAAATGCGCAAAAGAAAATGTAAGCCATGTTAATTATTTTTATGCAAAAGCGATGGCAAAACGGCAAAGACGAGACCCAACAAGGCAGCGTTGATTGCATTTTGCAGCTGGAAAAACTCGTGCGATTTTCCTCTCCGTTTGCTTGATTTTTCCTCTGCCTTCGCCTGGAATATCCTTTCATTATTTTAATGAAAGACTCGGTCAGAAGGCGAAACAAAAGCGAACATGAACTTAATTTGTAGCCACAATGAAATGGAAAACTCGGCAAAAGAAAGCCGAGTTAATTTTCGGGGGAAATTGAGATGGAATAGGGCTGCTGAGGCTCTCAGCCGATTTCAAATGCTCGCATTAAACAGCTTCTCTGTTGCAGTTGATTTTCCTGATTCCTGACAGCTGCTTTTTCCTTCTGGGTTTTCACTCTCACTCACCCATCGGGCTGGGGAAAATGAGGGAGAAAATGCTGCCTGATGGCAGCTTATTAGTGCGATTGTGAGTGTGGGTGAATGTGCGTGACTGCTGCAATTTGCAGCCCACTGTGATGATGACGATGTTGATAATGATGGCTGGCTGCGATGAGTATCATATTGCGTATACGCATTACGTATACGCCACCGGCGTGTGCAGCAGTCGGGCGAGAACTTTTGACTGCAGCACAAAGCACAGCAACATACTTAACGTCAGCTTAAAAACATGCTCCTCTGATTTGTTTTCCCATTTTGGCCGCCAAACAGTTTTCCTTGGGGCTGAGTGGCAATTTAAGAGCCTCGAATAAAAAATAAATAAAAAAAATAATTTGACAACCAGCCGCCACGCCCCCGAAGAACCGCGCCTCTCGTCTTGCGAGAACTGTTGTCGAAAAACTTTTCCAAACTTTTCCTCGGAAACTTTTCAACTAATTGCATTACAAGCGGAAACGTGCACACACACACACACAAACAGGCGCACACGCACACCATCAGCAGAACAAATGCCTCTTACCGCACACAGACACATGCACTGCCTCCCCACTAATACTCGCACACAGGAGCGCGGCACGTTTCCGTGTCAGTGCTGCTTAATTAACACAGCGCCCTGGCTGGGGATCCTAAAAGGAAACTGAGTCCTGTGGATGTGTGTGTCCCTACACTGGGAATTAATTTTGACCTTCTTAGTAATTGAAAATCATCTTTCAGATATCAATATAGGATTATCTATACTCAACAAAGTTAAATATGTATACCTTTTGATGGGATAGGAGATATTTCCAGATTATACATTTTTTTCAGTGCACAAAATGAACAGGTCTCTCTCACAGAGGCTAAAGGCAGCGAGGCGAGCATAATAAACTAAGCTCTCTGCCGCTGCTCTTGCTCCTGTCCGCTGATGAAGTTGATTTAATTGCGCTTATGAGCGCCAGCCCCGCCCCCTGTTTCCCATTTGCCATTACCCACTTTCCACACACCCATCTCCCAACACCAACCACCCACCACCCGCTCGTCAACTGCCGTTTGCCTTGGCGACATCATTTCGCCATTTGGCCCATGCCCCATGCCCCAGGCCCACCTGACAGGTGTTTCCATGCAGCCTGCTCCCTCAGCCAGTTTATGGCGTGTCCCACATAAATATTGTATGTGAAATAAATATGATCCCCAGCTCTCGGGGAATTTCATAAAGAGCTAAAATATTTCTGCCTCACGCGTGCCCAGAAGACGTAGCAGTGCTTCCAGTCTTCCAATTGTCGCCGCAAACTGGATTAAAGTTTATTAAAGGAATGTGAAAAAATCTAATTAGTTTTTAAGTTTTTTTTGCTTCAATATTTCGCTCTGTGCATCCTCTGAAGAGTCCAATGGCATCGATTGGTGATTAACCACAAATTTCCCATGCAGCCCTCTGCCCTGTTGGGATTTTAAAGGCTGATAGGCGCCCACACATCGACACCCCTGGCCAGGCCTCATGTAAATTAATAAACTTGTGAATTATTAATGCTCATAGGGATGGGGATGCTCTGTCTCTTGTGGGTTGTCCCGGTGGCTTGCCGCCAATCAAATCTGGCGGAAGTGCTCCTCCTTCCGGTTCCTTGTGTTTCCAGTGGCACAATGGACGTGTGCTAAGCTCGAATGGCTTTCTAATTAGTTCGTTCGCTTTTCCGATGATCCTTGAAGCCCTCACAGTCCTCGGCCTTTGTTCTGGCGGTCAATCAATAAGGCTCTGAGGCCTCGACCTCGACCCGAGCATGTTAACCCGCTGAAGGCGCCTTAGACACAAAGCCTGCTCACCCAGCTATGCCTCTATTAGGGCTCATAAAATCTCTTTTAATCATTAGAACGTTGTAAGAATCGCCTGTTTTGTCTATTACTAGGCTTTAACTGAAAGTAGAGATAAATATTTATAAGATATGGCCACTTTAATTTAGTTAAATTAATAAATTGAATAAATACTCAGTATGAAATGGGTTAACTGCCCGAGAACTGAAAGCGTCATCCGATACTCATCAGTGAACCTTTTCCCTCTTCTTTCCTTTCCAGCTGGGCAACCAGGAGGCCACCTGGGTGGTGGCTGACTACATCGCCAGTCCTGGCAGCAACGAGCTGAGCGTTAGCAAAGGACAGCAGGTGGAGATTATCGAGCCGCCCACCGCCGGCGAGCCGGACTTCTGCCTGGTGCGCCTGAATCCTCAGCACGAGGATGCCGCCGTGCAGGAAGGACTCGTCCCTGTCTCAGTGCTCAAACCGCCGCCGGGCTCACACAAACACGGTTCCGGATCCGGAGCGAACGCAGCCGGAGCAGTCGGCTCTCAGAAGTCCGACATGCAGGATCAGGGTAAGTCATTCGTTTTTTTATATTTATTTTCCCGTTTTGAATCAACTTTATTCGGTTTTCTGTAGGCAATCGCAGCAAGGCGGATGCACTCTCATCGTCCACTAAACGCCGCGGATTCAGCGGGTGAGTAACTTAGCCCCTCTAAGGCTCATCTTGTTTCTCCAAAATATTATGTTCTGGCTCTTGAAATGTGTTTTGAAAATGTTGCCAGATAAGAAGGCTGGTTCCCCATTTGGGTTTGTGACGTAGGTTGAGTCCCTAAAGATTAAGAAATTACCATTTGTCCCAAGAGCTGGCATTTATCGAAATAAAGTTGATTGGAGATAAGGAAATATTTTAATCAATGTTCCCCCTGAGAATAGCCTTTATGTTTCGAACATCAGCTAAGATTTCGATCGTCTATTGTATAATTATAATAATAGTTAGCTCAGTCAGGCCTCATCCATGTAGTCAACCAATTTATATGCCGAAAACAAATTCATAAATCGTTTTATAATCAATCAGTAGTCTGGCAGCCAGATAGCCAACAATGCCATCGCCTGTCTCCATAAATCTGTTAGGCTGGCAGAAGTACTGAGTTCACCCACATCGATTACCCCAACTTCATCCATTTGTTCATTTGCCATGCGTCACCGCTTGACAACTCTGAACGAAAACATCAAAGGGTGTGAAATGTGACGAGGGAGTCGTGTCAGTTTCCTAAGAGAGCATATCACTAAACTGACTTAAGCCCACAGTATTTTGGACTTCATTGAACTGATCAAATGACTCACTAAAGTCACCCTGATATCAAAGTGGGGTACTCATGCGCAAGAGGCTGGAGATAAACCTCGAAACATACGCAAAGGGATTTCCCTCAAACTTGCAGATAGATTATTCAATTGCTGAAGTTCAAGAATACATTTCTCAGCTTAATTCTGAAGAAAAATTATGTTTTTCAAAACATTCATTTTTCAGAAATATTAAGTGGAGAATATGTTTCTCAAGTCAGTTGATAAATATACGCAGAACTAGCAGTACTCAAAACCTAAACTGCGGGTAAACCCAAGAGGGATATTAACATTTTTCCGCTGGTGTAATTAATCGCGTGTCGCAGAGCTAAGGCGCAAGTCATAAAGATATAAACCCGAATACAACAGCACCGATATCAACAACAGTTGTGAGAATTACAGCTGCGAGCGAAAAAAGCTCGAAAGTAACAAGAAACTCAGGAACCGCTCAGCTGCTCCCAGTTTTTGCTCATTGTTATTGTTCTGCCATTCGTTTTTGTTCTTTGAAGGCGAGGCTACACTTGGAAAAATCATGTTTAGTTGGATTGACGATAATACTTTGTAAGTCACTATATAGGTATATCCCAAACTGAAAAATAATAGCACAAAGTCCGCTCTGGGCAACTTACGATAGGTGGTAATAAGTGCATCTAATTCTTTAAGTGTACCCTCTCCCTTGGATTCTCACCCATTGTTCACTTTCCAAGTTTGAGTTGGTTTTCATGGGTGCTCGCATTGCGTTGCCGTTTTCTCCAGAAATCGAAAGCCCCGTTGGGAGAACCTTTTCTTGGTCGCTCGCCGTCGAGTTTTGGCTCAGTTTATGATTAGACGCAGAGCCGTAAAGGTCTCTCGATTCGCTGTGCCGGTATCTAGCGGGTTAAACAATTAGCGCCACAGTGTTTGAAGTGCTCACCTCGGCGGATCGCTTATCTGGGCATGTGCAACAATAACAATAGTGACTGCGGCCACTGGAGCCGGTTAGATAAGATGGCCGAAAACGGTTTCCATTGCGAGAAAGCTGCCGTAGTACCCGGAACCGCCGGTTACTGCGATAACAACAATGTGACTTCGAGTCCTAACTCACAGTGCCAGAACAGTTTGCTCCAAACAAAACGCAGTTCGGCGCCCACTCAATCCCGATCCAAGTCGGTGCCCAAGCTGATGAAGTCCCTATCGCTGAGGAGTGGCGACAAGAGCGGCAGCGGGTCTTCCGCCGTCTTGCATCACCAGCAATCTCTGGGCGGAAAGCCTTCCGGCTTCACCTGTGTTTGCTGTGAAAATCCCGCCGAGATAAACAACAAAACCACCGAGAGACGGTATTCCTTCCTGAAGAGATTCCAAAAACGGTAAACTTTAGTTCAATGCTAGGGCTGTGTTTGAAATTAGAAATTAGAAATGCAGAATTTAGAGGTCGGTCCAGAACTTTTCCTACGCCATTAAAATGTTAATAAAACAAAGAACCGTAAAATTGGTCACTTGAAACCCGAATCCATGAGTCTGCTCTAAGCTAGCCCCACTTTCAATTAGTCGCCCTCGTCTCAATTGCAGTAACGAGCTCCTTGGGCATCATGTGGCTCATGTTTTCTGTGCGGCTCATCAGCTTCTCAATTGCCCAACTTAAATCAGCCTTAATTCCGCTTTTGTTTTTATTACACTTTCGGGAGAGGGTAAAACACTTTCAGTTGAACTTGAGTTCATGTCTTATATCTTCTTCAAAATATTTTGGATAAAAAACCAGGGAAGAGTATTCAAAGGTCTGCATCCCTTTCCCTCTTGATTTGACTTCATTTCCTCGAGTTCTGTTTTCTCTGCTATGAGTAAGCTCCATGAGACGAAGATTGCGGGCTGGGTTTGATTTATCGACAGCAACGTGTAATAGGAGTCCGTCTGGGCAATCCGGATGGCCGTTGTTCATTATGCAGCTGCAGTTACTGATCCGGCACGTTCGTCTGCCGTAAGACAGACACGTTGTTTGTTGTTTGTCCAGCAGCCTCACTTAGTTTTTGGGTGAGCCAATGAGTGTTTCGCAGCTCGTGGGCTCCCCCGAAAATATTGTTTGCCCAAAATGCTTGGGAAATATTTAAATGAGGGACAAGCGAGTTGCTCTGTTTCGGGGCATATTTATTCCCCGGCTAACACGATAATCACCGAAACGAATAGGGAATACCCATAAATATTCTACTGAGCGGCAACCGGTTTTGTTTTTCCCACCAACTTTTACGATAATTGCGCAATTAGCCAATACAGACTTGAACGATACCTGTTGAGCAGAGGCACTGCAGCCGATTAAGTTTATTTATGTCTGGCTTTAAAGGGAAAGTTCTATTAGAGTGAGGACTGGCACAATTTGATACTGTCTTTGTCCTTCTTAGTCAGCAGTGGACTTCGTCATGGGCTGTGAATACGACAGAGATAAGTGTCAAAGGAAAAAACTTAAACGATAGCAGACCATGCGTATTAATCATACGCCTCGTGGGCCAGCAACAATAGAAGGGAGAGAGCACCGATTGATTTTTGATTTGTTTTGATATATCGCACCCGCTCTATGCGGCATTATTACTGGCAATTCTCGCGCTTTCTTATAATTACGCATTCGATCGAAACGTTACTTTAAATAGCCTTTTTTCCATTTGGAACAATCTTATCGGGCTGGGCTCTGGTTGTGGGGAAAACAACGGCAAGGTTCTCCTGGGAACTATTTTATGTTTCCTATTTCTTTCTTCCATTGTTGCTTCGCTCTCTGGAAATTACACAACAACACTTTCAATATTTGCACTCTAATTGGGCACTTTGTTTGCTGTTGGCTCACTCGAGTGAGCATTAGGCGATGGCAGCTCCTTCTCCATCGCCTTATTTCTGCCCAACATGAATATAGATTATTGTCCGAGTCAACCACTATATAGCCCCGAACCTCCGACTCCCTTTCCTTTCTCCCTGCTGCTGCTGTCACTTTGCCACGGACTCTTTGTCTCAAGCACTGTGTCAATATGCGCGTGTGTTTGTCCAGGATATATGCAAAGAATCGTGGGACTATAAGGCTTACGGGGGTAAAAGGATCCTGCTCAGCAGCTCGTGCTACCGAGTCCAATGAACTAAGTGGTATTTGTATTTCCCCATACTGAAAGGCACTGGAAAAGTAGTTTACAGTCTGGGAAAGAATTGAGTATATAATCTTGAATTCTTGAATTTTCAAAAGTTTTTCATTTACCATTGACCATCAGGGAGAAGCATTTTAAATTAAGAACATCCCAAGAAATGTATTCATAAAATGTTGAATTGATTACTAATTTTACTTCTCTTATCGAAATATTATTCATTAATATTACTCACTATTTGGATCAAGGGAGTAGTATAATAAACAAACAATCACCCACTTAACTCAATCAAGTCTTAAAATTGTGAAATTTGAAAACACTTAATTTCCTAAGAAAAGCGACAGCGCATTTTCTTACACATCCTTGGGTGACCTACTCCTAGATTCAATAGAATCATATTATATCCCATTTAAGATCCATTACTAATATTTATTAGTAGTACTTAGCAGATATCTTTCGGTGTACAATTTGTTATCGAGCAGCAGGAGACGGAAACTGCAAAATTGTTGCATACTTTGCGGCGACCCCATTAATACACACCCAAACAAACATGAGTACGTCGCTGGCAAAGGGAGACACTTTGGCTATTTGCCTAAAACATTACATCAGCCAAATGAATTTTGAATGCGGCCAACAAGCTCATAATAAATTAAATACAATTCCTGGAAACGAACCGGTATCTCGTTCAATTTGACCAGTCGAAAAGCAGCGCGTCCCCGTTCCTTGTCCTTGTCGTCTGTGTCAATGTTTATTTTTACTTCGAATTATGTTACATGCCATTGGGTTCTGGCTTGCTGGCTGCCTAGGTGCCTGAATGCCTGGATGCCACCTGCCCGTCCACTTGGTTCCACTCTTTTGTATTTTGTTTAATTGATATCGATTTTGGAAGCGTTTAAGGCGACTAGTTTGCCCGTTAATTAAGCTTAATTAATATTTTATAAATGGCATATTTAAACAGAGCTTAGTTTGCGGTTTTGCTGCTGTCTGTAGTGCATTTGCACTGACCGCAGAGTTTTCACCGCTCACCCAAATGAGCTGCTGAAACCCAAGCCATCTGCTGCCGAGGTGTCCTCCCTTGGCAGTGTTCACTGTGGCTGATTAATGACTCGGCTCCCAGAAAAGTCGAAACTTGACCCATAAACTTTGCTCTGGCTGCGAATTAATCAAAGGAGCGTTGAAGGAAATATTTTTTATTTTACGGGGCAAATGCGGTAAAAACTTGAAGCATAAAAAGCGAAAATGAAAGGGGATATAAACGGGAATTTGACTCTTAAATTGTGGAATCATAAAACCAATTTGGGGAGGGGAGAGCCAGAGCCCTTTAAAAAGGCAAATGGTAATGGGAAAATGAATTGTGCCCACTGTGCGAGCGGCGACAAGCGAACAGCGGGCGGCTTTTGGCCAAGTTAGCAGCCGATGCTGGCGACAGTCTGATGTTAGCCTCTCAGCTGGACAGCCATCGAGCATTTCTTTGTTTTATTTATTTCCACATTTTATTTGGCACGCCATGAGATGGAGGAATTTGTGCACACCACAACGACGATTCGCAAGTTCCTGTAGGCCATATCCCACGAAAGTTCCTCAAGTGTTCGAACTGTCATTTAACTGTCGATATGTCTTGTATCTTGTACTTTCCAGGCGCAACTGGCTGCCGCTGATGAATCGCAAGGGAACGGACAAGGCGCCCAACAGCAAACCGCTGGTGAAGAAGCCCTCGGAGAAAAACCTGAAAGTGAGTGCTTCATTTAACGAGCGTTTATTTATATCATTTGACGTTTTTCCATGCTATTTTATATCTAGACACCCCAGAAGCACGCCGAGGAGCTGGCCGAGCAGCAAAATCAGCAGCCAGGTGGCAGTCCCGCCACCGTGGTGCCATCCTCGCAATTCCCCACCTCCACTCAGCATCCAGGAGGAGCCGGGGACTATGAGCCGGACGAGGAGGTCGGCTTGGAGCTGCCGCCGCCCATGAAACCCATCCAGGAGCCGCACCTGATTGCCAACGGACCGCCCGCATTTACCAAGGACGCCAAGGAGAACTCGGGCAATATGGTGAGTATCTGGGCACAGCACGGATTTCTGAAGATTTCCCACAGGACTTGAGTGAGTGGTGGTCATTTCGCAAGACTAACTACTATGCGAAATATCATTAGCATTGGTCAAGCAATCTGGGTGTGATTTTTAGTAGATGTAGAACTGAAAGCAAGGACGATTAAGATACAAATTGCAAGTGCACGTTTATGTTATGATGGAAAAAGTGTAATTCTGAAAAGTTAATACCGTTTTTTAAGGTAATACAATCCAGCCACCCTAACGTGAATGATATTCCCTGTGGCTCTCGCCCAATCAGCCACCCAATCGCTCACTCTGAGTTTGTTTGCTTAGCACGCAGCTCCTCTAATATGTGTTTCCCACACAAATCAAAGCGGTTTATTGTGATTTCGGCCCGTTCGCTTCTCCTCCATCGACGTCATCGGCAATCCGAGCACAGTTTTTGCTCAATTAGAGACTAGGAGGCGCACGCATTGTTCTCCGGTGGACTGGGAATCCTCCTCTGCTCTCCGGTCTCTCGTTTCTCTGGGCCAGCCACCTCTGCCATAAATGCGCCACTTTATTTTGTTTACAGTCGAAGCGGGAGAGTGAATAGACCGCCGCACCGTAGATACAGAGATACAAGAAGGCAAAGATACTCGAACTCGCAGATACGACGCATAAATTTCGGCAGTCAAATTAGCCCACAGACTTTGTCGGTCGAATGTGCGTGGGGCGGGACTTCCACTTGGTTGGTACTTTTGAAAGCAAATTACAGGCAAAGGATATAGTCAATGAGTCTGGCTGGCTGATTCATGGCTGCGAATGTGGCCTTAAATTATGCGGAATCCGATGCACTGTATAAGCTTGCGTGGTACTAAACTGAATGCTGAAGTATGTGCTTCTGTAAAGTAGAGTTTGTTTATCATAGGGGGTATACCTAATAGCAGCGGAGATAATTGAATAGAAAAGGTTAAGAACTCTTACTCACTCATCCTTAGTTTATACCTTTTATATTGATAATGACTTTATACCTTATTGTAAGGATTTTCTCCTTTTCAAAGCTCACGGTTGAGTTTCTGCACTGATTATATCTAATCCAGCTAGTTTGTTTTCCTCTACGCTTTATCCTTTTTCCATTTTAATTAACCTTGTTGGTGGTCCCACAGAAAAGATAAACTATGACAGAAGCCTTTTTCATTTTCATTTTCCTCCTATCTCTATTTGTTGTCAAGAATGCACCACACAATGTTTTTGTAAGTTTATCGAAATATATACTTAATTTTTTTAAAACATTCGCTGGTTTTTACAATAAACTTCCAAAAAACGATTAATTAGGAACTGTCTGTCATTCGAGAGTTCTGAAAAACCCCGACACACTGACATCTTTGTAATATTTCAAGAGCTGCACATTTTTAGTGTTTTTTATTACACCGTGCACTTTGGGGACTTTAAAGTTTGCTTTTGGCTCTCCTTCAATTTGATTAATGATTCGATTCCCTGTTGCTGTTTCTGTTTGGAGAGCTCCCCGAGTTGGTTGTCTCGCATCCATTCCGAGCTCTTTTCATCCGTTCCATCCGATGTGTCCGTCGCCAGAACGTCGCCTTTGCTATAGCCACTTTGTCCGTCAATAAATTGAATGTCGTCTGGTCTGTTCTGCTGCGCGTTCTCTATTTCGCTGATGATGATGATGGCTTATTAGCTGAATTCGGTACACAGAGGAAACTTTTCGTACCTTAAATTTATACATACTGCTTTCATATCGAGAAAACTGCAACTTATCAGAATACAATCTGTGCAAAGAAGACTTCTAGGATATAAAAATTCTTAATTAAGTACCAAGAGAGAGAGAGAGACTAACTTAGGATTTTTGTTCTGTGCAGCTATGCAAAATTTCGGCTGGCTTGTACAAGTTGCTTTGCCTTGATGCGTCAACATTTAATTGTATTCTTTCCTGTTTACAAATTCTTTTTTCTTTTTTTTTTGGTTTCGGCTGGGTGCGAACTTCTTAACCCAGTTAGGTTTTCGTATATCGCTTGTGCTAACTTTTTGGCCTACTTGGCATTCGGGTCTCGGCCTTATTCCTGTGCCACCTTTGTTTAGTTCGCCTATTTGCATTGTCATTAATTTTTAATAGTTCTCCTTGTCGAACTTCGCGCCCTTTGCGAGTTCTCTGTACATGTATATAGAATATATATCTGTGGATATATGTGACATCAGCCGCTGCAAGTCGACTACCTCCCCTTTTTCAAACAGGCTAATTAAATGTCACACCACTTAGATGAGGGTACGTCATTGCGTGGGTTGTTCCTTTGGTTTCAGCTTTTATTGTTCTTTAGTTTACTGCTGATGAAATTCTAATGTAAGGCCCAATGTCCGCTGATATCAGACTTCCTTTGCTGAGGGTGATGAATGGAGGTTTGGGAATTCCCTAAATTGTAAGCAAGAAATATTATTCACTTTAAAAAATGAATAGTAAAATGATCAATTTGTTGCTTTACTCATCACGAAATCTAAACTAATCAAGAATTCTTAGCATTTGGCTATATATTTCGGAAAATATCGAATCTATAATTGAAATATCTCTCAAGACTTTATAGCCGAAGGTATTTCCTTGTCGATCAGTGGCACCCTCTAGACCATTTTGCCGCGAAATGCGAATTAATTTATGTATTTAAGAATTCATAACAACAACAGTGCCAAGCAGAGCCACACAAAACACACACACAAACACACATACACACATCGGGAATACAAAGAGAGTTCCCCCGATGCCCCGTCCCCGCCTATCTATATCTCTATATCTCTCTGTTTAGCTTTCGCTCATTCGATACTATATGCCATACAATTATTTCAACGCTTTTCCTCAAGTGAGTGCGACGAATTTCTTGGCGGAGCGTTGATTGAGAGTTTCTTTTTGATGTCGCAAGGGGGAAGCACTGTGTGTATGCGTAAGTGGGTGGGTGAGTGGGTGAGTGGGTGGTTGGGTGCCTGTGCTATGCCTACATATGTAAAACATGCTGGGCAACAGGCGAAACTATTAGGCCAGTCAGTCAGTCGCTCCGTTCACCGCTCGGCGTTCAGTCGTCTTCGAGATTCTCGGCCTTTCGCATTGATAAAATGCGTCGCCGTCGCAAAGTCCTTATAAAGGCCAAAGTTTCGAAAGACAGTTCCCCATAAACGGTAGCCGAAAAACAACAAAATACAAAGCAAATCAACACTGCGCGCTGGGAATTTTAAGCAACACGTGCCATGAGCTGTTTCTTCCGCTTATTTGTAAGCTGCATTCGCCGTTGTAATTTGTGATTCGTTTTCGATGACAGAACCCCATTATTATTATTATTATTATGGCCAAGCCCAAGCAGCTGACCCATCTTAATCTTATCGCAAAAGTGCTCAGAATGGAAAGTTGATCACAAGAAAAACAATAGTTACACAATGTTATCTACTGACTGAGCCAAGAGCGAGTTCTGGTTATAATTTTAGTAGAACCAACAGTAAAGTAGGGTGTGTGTGTGTGTGTGTGGTTGTGTGTTTAGTTAAGTTTCTTATTTATGCAACTGAAATTAATTCGGGGCCCTGTGTGCGAGTGCGAATGCGAGTGCGAGAGTGTGCGAGTGGGAAAATAAAAATAAGCTAGTGATTCAATTCGAGCTGAACATGCAACCCCGTAGAATGTGTTTATTTTGAAAATTACCACAAAATGATAGAGGTTTTTCCTCTACTCAACTCTATTTGCGGCCACGCTGCGTATGAGCAATGTTGGCTGTCGGACTAATTCAATACACATAGTTTAGTCAAAGTTTATTCAATTTCAATAGGGAGATTGTTAGCCTTAAAAAGTTATTGAATCAAGAGCACGGACGGTGAGGAAAACTTTTTCAATTAGCCGCCTGCTGCACAAGGGGATAATGCAATAATCGCCGCTCAAACTTTTCCATTATGCATTTGGCCTGACCATCACTGAGTTTCCCCTTCTTCTCTTCTCCCGCTTTTGCAGGCCAGCACTGGCAAAATGGACGGCAATCCACTATCGGAAATAGAAGAAATTGTCAAGACGACAACGGTAAGTGCTTCGGTCGATGGCTGCGAGCGCAAGACTAACCCATTTTCCTGATTTTCCAATCTGCAGGAGCAACACGAGTCCAACAGTCGCGCGGATGGAGGCGGTGGAGCGGAAAATGCCAGCACCAATGGCCACGGACGCTCCCACGACAAAAATGATGAGGTGAGTTCGGATTTGAGAGTTAGAGATTGGCGAGATTATAATTGTATATCCTTTGTAGGAACACACTGTGATCTCAGACAAGGCTGCTGCTCTCAAGAAGCGGCAATGCGCATTGGCGGAGCTGATGTCCACGGAGGAGACCTATGTGAAGGATCTGAGTGTGATCGTAAATGGGTATGTGGAGCAGAATTTGTTGAGGGAAAGTCAAATCCTAAATGATATAAAATTTTCAGCTACATGGCAGAGATCAACAACACGAACAGTGATATACCCCTGCCCGAGAATTTGAAGGGCGGCAAAATAAAGTTGGTATTCAACAATATCAAAGACATCTACGAGTGGCACAGGGAGTGAGTAGAGAGAACGAACCTACTACAGTGAAAAACTTATTTAATATTACGTAAATCTTTTCCAGCTTCTTTGTAAAGTCTCTGCGTACCTGCCAGAATTCGCCAGCGGATCTGGGCCCGCTCATCAAGCGCTCATCCACTAAGTTTGCTCTGTATTACACCTTTTGCAGTAATATGCCGCTGTCGGAGTACATAGTCAGCGCCCATTATCAGTATTTTGATTGCATACGCCAGAAGCTGAAACAACGCCTGGATGTAAGTCGGCATTGCCTTATCAGCTAATCAACTAATTAGGAATGCATACAATTATAATTTCTGATGCTAACTAACGACTCCCTTCCTTTCGAATCCCCAGTTGAGCAACCTTATCATCAAGCCAGTGCAGCGAATCACAAAATACGAGCTACTGATCAAGGAGATCATCAAGGCCACAGAGGGAGCCGGCCTCTACGACGAGATTCCCATGCTGCAAGAGGCCTACCAGCAGATGAGGGTGGTGGTCAAGACAGTCAACGATATGACGGTGGTGCTGCGCAGCCTGCAGGACTTTGATGGAGAGATCACCGCCCAAGGCAGCCTTCTGATGCAGGGTTCCATGAACTGCCTGGTGGATGCGGCACAGAAGCAGCGCGAGCTTCAGGTGTTCCTCTTCCAGCAGATCATCATCTTTGCCGACATTGAGAAGGCCAAGAACCAGTTCTCCAGTCCCGTATTTAAATACCGATCGCACATACAGGTATTTGATAACTTTAGAACTATATTTTTTGATTGGTTAATAACAACTACTTTTCATCGCCCAGCTCAATCACATGCAAATGAAGGAACTGGGCGACTGCCGCTTTCAGATCAGGTCGACTGACCCTAAGATTGCGGAGATGACGATCATCTGCCAGGCGTCATCGCAGGAGAGCTACGCGGGATGGCGAGACATGCTGAACAAGATCCTGCAGCAGCAGAACGACCTCATCTTTATGCTCTCCAATCCCCTGCAAACCAAAAATAAGTGAACGCCCTCTGAGGTAGAATTCCAAATGACAAAGCAGGAAAGCAGGAAAGCTTGAAAGTTTGAAAGCTTGACAGCAAGCAAGAACAACAAACGAAAGTATGAGAAAATGATATTGTAATGTGTTTTGGGCAAAGGGTTGTCCGCCACCCAAGTGAGCATCAGCCTCGCACTTGTTTTCCCGTCTGTGCGTCTGTGCGTCTGCTTACGGATCGTCTTGCTCACACCCAGCACCCAGATACACTCGCATACTCAGTCCTAATTTGTATGTAACTTGTAATTGTAATTTATTTATTTGTCATCGCCTGCGTTTCCGTTCAGACCACCTTTAGTTGATAGTTTAAGCCGCCTTTATGTTCTGTCAGATTCTGTTTTCGTTTCCGGATTTGTGTGTATGAAACGCAAAGTATTATATGCTCAAGATTACCTTTGACATTGTGTGCATTTTTAACTTAATTAGACTCCGTTGCTCTCAGTTGAACTTCCTCAAATCGGATTTCTTAGCGATCGGCAGCCAAGACCTACTCAGAATCAAAAGCAATTCACATTTTCGTTTCGTATTTTTATTCGCATCAAACGCAGAGTAAGAGTATACCTATTCTATAGCCTTAGTTCGGTTAATCATAGTTTAAACTTATCGTAACTTGATTTGCTTTGGATAGCTAAAGCAGAGACTCGTGTACTGGCACTCGTTCGAGTGCTGCAACTTCGTGAAATAATTTAAGCTTAACGTTAGTTTATGAATGCAATGCAAAGCGTATTTGTACTTTATGTTTTACAAATAAAATATGTAAGCTTTAAACGTAATCAAAACCAGAAACAATAAGTTTTTAATTATTCTAATTTAACATTATGCCCAAAATAAACAAAAAATGTCTGCTCAGTTGTAATTTTATTTCGGTTTTCCGCATCATTTCATACTCTTTGCCCAGTTTTCAGTTATTATTTTCACAAACAAGGACACTTCACATACTCGTAGACTAAGTAAGTCATCAGAAACGGAACCCTAATACCTTAAAGATAGCACTTAAGCGAAACCTAACTGTATACCCAATCCAATTTTTCGAAGCGTATTTCTCTTTTTGGTGTCTGTGCGTTTATGTTAGTTGGTAAGAAACAGGAGGCAGTAAGGATATTGTACAGTGTAGCATACGAGGTTAAGTCAGAGCCACTCCGGTACACGTACTCAACCAGGACCAGGATTTGATTAAACGAATAAATAATGTATAAAACATGAGACGAAGTTACTAAGCGGTTGTTCACACGATACGTTCGAATCGATTTTGTCTCTGAAAAGCACCCACACACACTCTTACACACACGGACACCCGGCTACAGTCTGGATAATGAATATGAATGAAATTTGAATATATCAATGCGAAGAATAACAATAATGATTTAGCATAGCTAAATGTAGGAAGCGAACATGAAATGTATTTTTTTACAAAAATTGTGAAACGAACCTCCGGCATAATTCGTAATTAAATGTTAAAGTCGCGATGACGGATCGGATCGGATCGGATCGTAGGATCATAAGATCCTAGATCGGATGACAAGCAAACGCACAGTGAGAGGAACTCAAATGGCCACAACATTTTCTACATTTTTGCACTTAACTCGTAGAGCTACTCAACTCACAGCCGATCGATCGTAACATGTAACATACTGAATTCTTTTCGATTATATATTAATGGCACTTACCTTACCGATTAACTAATTGTTGTACTTAAGACCCCCCAGTCGAAATTCTAGATAATTGTGGTAATTCAAGTGTGTGTTTTAGTTTATCTAATTACTCTGACTAAATATAAATATACTACTTACAAGAGCGACATCATGTACGCCAGTGCAATGCGAACAGCATCAAGTAAATGTGTTAATCTGTGTTTTAGCCAAGTAAGCACCAGCTTTTCCCTCGGAAAACGCTCGCAAACCGCCACTCGAGATCAACAGTTGGCCCGGGCGCAGGCTGCAAATATAATATAAATATATCCAGAAACCAATATGCAAATTGTATGTAACCAACCAACAAAGCATGTAATCTGAATTTAAAATTTTCAAAGTGAATAATAATAAAGCAAAAGTAGCTGAATAAACTTAACATACTCAACTAAAACCAATTCGTTTATTTTCAAGGTTAGTTACTTATCGCAATAATCGTAGTTAATAAATACTACGTTTTTTGAAAATTTCATGACATTTCAAACTTGGCGCTCAACTTGAAATAGTTTCCAACACTGCATTTGAGCGAATACGTGTGAATGTCAAATAATGAAGAAGAAAACTATGAGCTTGTGAATGATTTTTGATTAAAATTAACAATAAAACAAATATTTAAAGTATATTTTATATTTCATCTTAAGAAAGTATACTGAATTTCTTGTGTAGTTAATAAAAAGCATTTTCTTCGTTTTATTTCGGTTTAAATAATTAAGACTAGTTATAAAAATGCTATCAGTTTTGAGCAAGCTGTGCGCCAATTGATCTACTTTCTGCCGATTCCCGGACTTTTCAGATTCAAAAACTTCTCAGATTCCCCGACGTGCCTGCCCCTCATCGGGGGTATCGGATCCTGCGGATGCAGCTGCAGCCTGGTGAAGTTGTTTCAGCTCGTTGTACAGCCTCAGAGCGAGCTGCATGTTGGGCGCCCATTGGCGTCCTAGCACTTGATGTTCTTTGGGTGGCTGCACGCACATCTTGACCAGCTTTTGCAGCGTCTTCGAGAGACGCACTCCGCTGAGCAGGCCGGGCTGGAAGGTTCCCCCGCCTAGGAGGATGTGCTCACAGAATATCTGGAAGTTGTTGTTCTGCTGGATGTGCGTGCAGGATTGCTTCTCCTCATCGCAAAGACCTCTGCAGGAGTGGAAGTGGCAGTCCTGGTTGGTATGGCACTTGACGCCCCTGGACAGCCGCTTGTCCAGTTGGCTCTCCACATAGACATGCTCGGCGCTCTGGTACTTCAGCCTTCGTTCGGAGGCTGTTCCGAAGCGGTTTACCTGCATCTTGCACATTTTCAGGGGTTCCGGCTTCATTTCGTCCAGTCGGAAAATGTATTCCATTATGTTGAGAGCGTGCTTTAGGCGCTGCACGCGATTGGATGCTCTGAAATGGTGAAGGGAAAACCATTAAATATGAGTTCCATGCAAGGAAAGCTAAGCACCCACAGATACTGCATAATGCTGGGGTTTGACTGCACGATCTGCAATCCCTCAGTGGCATAGTAAGGACCACAGGAACCCAGAACTGCTGGGAATATGGACTCCTCGTCGAACAGCTTGCCCATCATGTAGTTGTTGTCCTTGAACAGTCTCCAAAAGCTAACCATCTGCTGAGAGTTATCATCGGCTATTTCCTGGTTAACCAAAGCGCGGATCTGAAGTATAGAAAGTGTGTTAAGATCCTAGAATTTTCACAGTTAACGCCCTTTTTCTTACCATATTATCATCAAGGGTGACATTATAGGCCAGTATGATATGCAGCTTTACGATCTCATGGAACTCCTCGATCTTGGGATAGATGGACTCGCCTTTGCTGTTCGTCCAGCTCAGTTCGTCATCATTGTGCCGGGCCAACTGATGGAAGAAAATTGTAGTCTTGACAACCAATGCCGGAAAACCCGACCTACCTTCACCGCATACATATCACCGTTCTTTTCGGCCGTGAAGAGAATAGTTTTCATGTCATTCAGTGGGCACTGGAAGTTGTCGAAGGAAGATTGGGAACCACAAAGTTCTTCACACAGAGAGCCGCTGTACTCATGTTTTTCAAACTTTTGGCACTGTTTAGTTAAGGATGTTATGTAGTATTTCATCTGGAAAACCAGTTGTGGTCATTTTACCATAAGATTGAGGCTCCTATGGGACATCAACTTAAAGCAGAACTTGAGGTTGAGAAAGGCGTAGCTGAAGATGCCCACCGCCAGCAGGACCGCTATTAAAACCGTGCGCTGCATTCCAAACCGAATTTTCCGTCGCAGGGCGGTCAACATTTTAAAATCCAAAGACTTCCATTTTCAATTCCATTTCAATTCGTTTACACACCCCATCGAAGGTACGGGTATATACACTTGAAGCCCAGGACTGTCACTTCAACTTGGCACATCCTTGACTTGCGCACTTTCAACCTGTCTATCGATAACTATCGCAACCAGTGCTTCCGATTCATCCTTCTTCTATGATATCGGATTTCGAAATATTCTACCGATCTGATCTAATAGAGCCAAATGAATATCCAGACAGACAAATGTGCTGATCCCAAGATATTCTCTTCCTCCCAATCAAAAGACATTTTTGTATTTTGAAATTATTACTTAACGTATAATTCTTTATTTATACTCTCTGCTAAATTGAGCAATTTACTTTACTTAATTCATCAATTTTTATTTGTATTTTTAATAAGTTGTCTTTTAATTTCATTCAAGTGTTTAGAGTTTCCGTTTTGGTTTTGGTTTTTGTTTTGGTTTCTTTGTTCTGCTTTACTAAAAATTATTTAAATTCAGAATCATATACCTAGGTTCAAGTTTATTGTTGTATATTAATAATATAATTATTATTCCGCATCATCCTCTCCTCCGATCCCCTCCGCAGTGCATAGGAGTCGGAGTCTGTGTGTCAAGTCTGTATCGGTTCTTGAGTGTGTTCTCGGGGGTCTCTCTACTATTCACCTTTGCGTGTATTTATATACTTAAGATAACCGCTCTGTATGCACAATTTAACTAGTTATGTACACAACTATATGTGGCTATGACCAATGCTAGAACATGTCCGAGTCCGAACCACAAACTAAAGTACAAACAGGTAAAAAAACCGCTAGGGTATAATGCCATTGTTAATTGTGTTAATTCAGCTATATATCTCGAACGGCATCTCACTAATTCTTGCAGCTGGCTTTGGTTTTGTGTGTGTGATTATCCTGGCCCGAAATCTCATCGATTCGAGGGTCTTTGGGTTAACTGGTAAGTTTGTGTCTTCGCTACGTGAACTTTAAAAGGGTTTGCCTCGGTCTTAGTTAATTCCCATAGTCGATTTCCTATTACTGGATCTATGTCTTTAACTCGGTCCGTTTTCTCTTGTTGGGACTGTCTGATCTGTTATTTACAGTTCGAATAGTGCACTCAACTTAGGGGCAGTTCGTTTCTGTTTCCGTTTCCGTTTCCGTTCCCGGTTCTGTATTCTTCTGTCCGACGTTTTGTGGTGCTTGTTTTATGTTTTTTATACTTGATTTAACTTTACGCAATGTTAACATTCTGTCTTTTGATTTTGTTACAAAATCGCACGGCCGCGTGGCGTTTTAACTTTTTGTTTGTTTTTTTTGTTTTTTTTTAGTTTCGTAATTCCGTTGAACTCATTATTGTTTTTTTTTGCTTATTTCATTAAAATAATGTAAAAAATCTGCAAATTGCATGCTCCTCGTTAATTAATGTGCCTTTAAAAAATGTCTATGATTTCTCTATATGTATTCATTCTTATATTTACAGCAGTTTTCATTTCGATTTGGTTTTGCGAACGTCGTCTTGAGTTTTCTTTTTGTTTTCTTTGAGTCCAATTGGATCTTGTTGTTGTTGTTGTTTTTGTTTTTGTTGTTCATTTATTTAAAACCTTTGTTTTTGGCAGTGCATTTATATTTATTATTTTCTGTCACTAATTCATAATGATTCGCCTCGGCTAATGACTACAAATTAAGTTCGTTAGTAGTTAGTCGTAAATTAGGTTATTAATTAATCAACAGCAGTTATTTACAATTTCTCGGTTTGTTTTTGTTCTCACGCAAGGTACGTCTGATTCAACGGCCATTAAATTAAGTTGGAGTGCTTAGTTTACAGTTAGTTTGAGTTGATTGAGTTTTCGAAAGCAACTGATTCTGCAGAGAGATTTGACTAGAAAGTATAATTGGAAGACAGTTGTTCGGGGATAATACACACGTGAATCGAACCGATTGGGGGACTTGTGGAAAATTGAAAAACTGTGGGCTTGAATCGAACGGAAACGTATTTAATCCTTGAGCAAAACGGCTTATTGCTTTATTACAAAAATCGCAAGCAGTCCCTGAAAAACGCGCATATCAAATAAATGCTAACAAAACTCTCACTTCCGCCCTTCTGCGTAATCTTAACATCTCTTTTAACATTAAACTGGTTGTTGCCCTTAGTGTGCCAAACTACAGTTGCTGTTCTCTTGCTGCTTTGTTCGTTAATAAATGGTTAATATTATTACTTAGTTGCAGTTGCAGTTGCAGTTGCAGTTGCGGTTGCGGTTGCTGAAACTCTAAATCTTGTGGCGCTGCTCCGATCTGATCCGTCGCTTCCTTATAGCTAGCTTTAACTGGTATGTTAGATTGGTTGTCTATCATCTAGGCTTGAGTAGGTGTGCATTATTATTTCCATTTGCCTTGGCTCTTAACTATGTATATGGGTTTAGTCAATTTAAATATGCAAATTCAAAACCTTCGCTTAATGTTTAACTTGAATATACAAATGCTCTCCGCTCTATAGCTTGTATTTATTATGTATACGCACTGTTAGCTTAAGTATTCTTTTCATTATTTAAAATAGTCGTTGTTCATCTTCCTCTTGTCTTTTGCAGCTGATGTGATTCGTGTGTGTGTGTGATTTGTGCATTAGGGGGAGCGTCTTTCGAGGGGCTTAAAGTAAGTTCAGGTACCGAATGACGCCTCAAGAACTATAGGGATGAAATCTTTAGTACCTGATTATTTCCACCCCTCAAAATCCACTCATCTCCCTTGGTGCTCTGAGTTTTTCTCAGTGTGTCGTTCTGATTCTCGCTTTAAACAGAGTTTTGGCTTAGCACAAAATTAACATTAATTTTCTTAATTTTTTGGCAGTGTAAAAATTGTAATTAAATGTATCTATGGCTCTCGATCGGCTGTCCAACACCTCTGCCTTAGATATTGCTTGTCCAGTCGCCACATGGTTAGTCTTCGTCCAGGCTCTGCGACCGTCGCTTCGAGACCACCAGGTATTTGCGACCAAAGTAGGGTGAATCTGCGGGATGCAGGATTCAGGATGCAGTGAGTTCCGTAACTGCGATCGCTCACTTTTTGCGCAGGAAGTCGGTGTATTTGCGTGCTCGCTTGCGCACTCGCTTGAGGGCCGATCCCAACCGGAATTGCTCATCGGTGAGGTCGTAGGCGTGGTGCGAGGAGTTCGGGTGGTTCAGCAGGTGGTGCACGTGGGCATGGGTGTGGGCGTGGCTGTGGTGCGATTGTGAGTGCGGTGAGTTAGCGTGATGGTAGTGATGCATCTGGACAAAGTCATCCCCAGCGGGATTAACGGACCCCGAAAGCGGTGATCCCGGGGACATGGGTTGCGCTAGCAAATTGTGTTCGGAGGCGGCGTCGAAGGACTCGAAGTGGTGCAGCTGCTGGTGGTGCGTCAGTGGTTGCGGCGACGGCAGCGACGAGGAGTGCTCACTGGTCGTGGAGGCGCCACCACCTCCCTCCAGTCCCCCGACTCCAGCGAACTCCTTGGGTAACTCGTCGATACCCAAGGGTTTCTCGAAATGGGAGTTACCCGACATGTTCGTGTAGTCATAGCTGGGATAGGTGTAGGGCAGATAGCCGGCATGGTGGCCTTCGCATCCCACCTCGGAGTTGTTAGCGGCACCACTCCTGTTGTTTATGAACTTCACCTCGTTGGCATTCCTCTCCAGACTGCTGCTGAACACTATGTTGATATTGTTAGAACTCGTTGACAAGTTGATATCCGTGGGCGAGAGCTGTTCCGTGGAACTCTGGTTCAGATTCGTCTCCTTAGAGATGGCCCTGTAGTTCTGGAAACACTCAGCAGCATCGCTGGAAGCTGTGTTCGTGGTGTTCGTGTTGTTGTTGGTCGCATTCTGGCCCTGCTGGAAGTTGTTCTTGTACTGAAACTCTAGAGCATTGGAAGGCTGAAAGGGATAGTTCTTGGAGTTGTTAAGGATGTCGCTGGCCGTGGCATCGCCCTTGGACAGATACTGGTGGATGTCCTCGCTGGTGATCTGCAGGTCCTGATCCAAGTAGCTGTTGCATTGTATGTAGTTGTAGTTGTTGCTGCAGCAATTGTTGTAGGCCTCGCCGGCGTCCTGGTGGAACATCACGGTCGTGGTTGCCTCGTCCTCGAACTCACAATGATAGTTGCCACTGCCTTTACTCCCGCGACTTCCTTTACTTCCTCTTCGCTTCCTTGCTGCTGCCGCCGAAGTGCTGGGACCCTCGTCGTAAACGGAGGTACTGCTGGTGATCTTCCTGCAGGGCTTCTTTTCGGGTTCCGGTTCGGGCACCTGCCAGACGTCTAGCTTATCCTCTTCCTGATCTCTCTCAAGACCTCCCACGGCTCCTTCCATCTCAGAGGGTGATCTGCCATCGGCCAGGAAACTCCAGCGAATGGGCGACGGGGAACAGGCGTACTCGGGCAGCTCGGTGCTGCCCAGAGCTCCCTTTGAACTCTGACGTTCCAGCGTGGATCCCTGCTCGGTGGCCATGTTCTTGGCCCGGTCAAAGATCGAGGTCAGAGAACCCAGCTGACTGTTAGGACGACTGGCATTCAGGCCCCTCAAGGAAATGGAAGTGTAACTAGGCTGACGATGTTCCGGCAGCAAGCTCCTCTGGCTCCTGTGGTGCTTGCGCACCGCAGCAGAGGCTGACTTTATGGAGTTATTCCGACTCAACGAGGACCGAGAGCCATAGAGACTCGTCGAATCCGTCTGGTAGCAATAATCAGAGCTCGTGCAACAGCTACTCGGTCGTCGAGAGGAACCATAGAGGTCTTCGGCAAAACATTGGGCCAGCTCGGTGCGAGAGGAACTGTTGGTGGCAGTGTTGCAGCAGGTACGGCGCACCAAAATCTCCTGAACCTCCCGATCGGAGCAGGACGGGTCCTGGCAGGCATTCGTTGTGGATATATCGGTAACGGAGCGGTGGCGACGACTGGTGCAGATCGATGGACGCACCACCGAGTGGTTCGCTGAGGAGGAGGAGGCCTGGTGGGCACCGGGCAGACTTCCGCTGCCCTGCCGCCTCCTCCGACTGTGGTGGCGACTGTGGTGCGAGTGATGGTGGTGCGAGTGCGGCGAGGTGTGGCGACTGTGGTGCGGACTATGGCTGTGCTTGCGCTGCTGGCAGTGGTGCAATGGCGGTGGCTGCTGTACTGGTGGCGGCTGCTGTACGGGTGTTGGTGGTGGCTGTGTTAGCGAGGGGTTGGCCTGATCACATACGACTTCCTTCTCATAGCTACAGTGTACGTATTCGTGTGTGGTATAGCGGGACTGGTGGTGCACCTGCTGGTGGTGCTGGTGACCCTGCGGCTGATGCGGCTGGTGGGGCTCCTCAGCGCGACTCGTGGAACGAACACTGGCAGAGTCAGGAGGCGAGGCGCTCCTCAGTCAAGGCCCGCTGCTCGGGCAGACAGGTGGAGGCTGACGAGGGTGATGGGGCGCAGAGGCAGCGCTCCGGCCCTGGTGTGTACTTCGGCCGCCTTCTAAAAATCGCTCGGATGCAGCTGCCCAGCGAAATGTGGCAAATGGCGTTGGCGATTGGCGATTGGCGAAAAAACAAACAAACCAAAGTCGAGAATACGAAAAAAGCAATTAATACGGCGGGCCAAATTGTTGGTTTCTCGTCATCGTTAGAGTTTAATTTATTGTCGGGCTTTTTTCGGGCGTTTTTAGCTGCGATTCATTCACTACTGCTGCTAATTAAACAGTGCATGCAAAAAGTCCATGCCAATAATACGCATGCAATCGGGAAAGGCGATAAAAACGCTTGCAATCGCTTGCAAACAGTCATGCAGAGTCCATAAAACAAAAACCAACAAAATGACGATGAAGTTGATGAAGGCGAAGGGCTGCTTGATTGATGGTCTGATTGATTGGTTAATTAATTAACTAAAATGATTAAAATTTAGCAGTTTTTTGTTCGACAGATGCGGCAATAACAATAGCTGTAGATTTATGGCTTTTGGACTTCACCCTTTAAGAGTTTAAATAAAAACTAAAATTAGTACCGCTGCTGTTTATTATTAAATTAAAGCCAATTAGGTTTTTTAAGCTAATTTCTACTTTGAAATATTTCTAGAGCATGAAATAATTATGATTTTATTGGTTGACTCTTAAAAGAAAAAATGATCACGTGGACTGAATGATTCGATTTTAATTTGTGTTTCATTTGATTTGAAATTGTTTTCCTATGCTTAAGTTTTTAGTCGCATTATTGGCACTTTTCTTTCTGATCTTTGAGCGAGTGGGTGACTTGGGTGTATCTGGGTGTGTGGTGTTTGTATTCAGAGAGAGGTGCGACTTTTCTTTACTTAGCCAATCGGTTCGCTTCTTTTTGATTCTTTTGATTGTTGGTCCCAAGATCAGTAGTTTCCCCTTCACTTGCGTACTATAAAGGAACGAAAGGAAATCAATATAAGCTACGGTTCATCAGATCCGAACTGTCAGTGGTTCGTTTTAGCGTCAGCTTGAGCCTTGGCCAAGTTGCATATACATATACATATATATATAGGACTATATCTATAGACTCGACTGGGTGCATTTGGTTCGGGCATTTTCATGTAAATGCTTTCGTGATTGGCTGAGTGGGTCAGTGGCAGCGTGGTGGCTCAGTGGCTCAGTGGCTGACTAGCTGACTAGCTGACTAGCTGGGTTGTGGTGGCTTATTAGTTAGCGGTGCTGGGTCAACCTACATGACATCCTTCCGTGCGCCGAGTGCCGGCGGAAACTGTAGTCGTCAACCTCGTCGTAGTGGCACTTTCTCGTCACCTGCGGCGTTTGCATGTTGGTGCCGTAGTTCGTGTAGCACTGGCCCGATCCGGATCCGGATCCGGCCAAGCCGAGGACTCCGCCCGGACCGTAGTTGCTCGATCCGGGACCCAGGAGGTTGGTGCTATCGCTCAGCGGATAGGGACCCATGCCTTCAACCGTCAGGGAAAACGAGGTCGTACCAAACACTTTTATTATTACAAAGTACGGCAAAAAGGATTTCTCGGTTGTTCGATGTTCGATTTTCGATTTTCGTTTTTTCGTTTTTGATTTTTGATTTTCGTTTCATGCAAGATCAGATAGTCGCCAATATTGGTTGTAGTTGTTGTTGCCGAGTTGGTTACATACAATAGTTGAGTGTTGGTTGTGTGTTGGGTCCAGTTGATGGTTGATTTAGATCGATTGATTGATAGGTTTCCAATGTTAAAAATTGTTTGATACAAAAAAACACAATTCATAAATCCGAATGGAAATAAACAATGCAAGATAGTTAATTTATTCAGACAGACGCGGGCATCGCATCGGGTCTTAGGTTAGTTTACAGATTAGAAGAGAACAGTACAGATCGAATTTCTACAATAACAAGCAGCTAGATAGATGATTAGGACAGAGTCACAAGATAGTGGCATTCCAAATAATACTTCAGAAGTTCTAGGCAAACAATAACAGTCAGAAATTTATGGTCACACAAATATTTATATCAATGAGTGGAGATGATGGAGGCTTGGTAAGAGGTTTTCAATGGGTAGGGATAATGCATTATATTTTCTGTTAAAATAAATAAAGTCAACTTGTGCCCAATTGCTCGTTGGAAAACTATAAGAAACTTTCTCTGTTCTTACCTTAAGAAATTAAAACGATTTAGGGTGCCACTGAAGCTATAAACTTAAAATGCCTAAAAGTATGCAACGAAATAACCGCTAGAGATTTCAGTGGCACCTCTGTAATTTGTAATGACAAGCGTAATTTTGTGTTATTATGTTACATCCAAAAAAGTGTTTGAAGTTCCCTACAGACTTTAGTCAGTATAATTTAGGCACTGTGTCAAACAAAAAACAAATTATGCAACACGTTGAACAAGGGTTGTTTATAAGCCAATTTACATAGATACATTCGGTTTGATGGTGTGCCTTTGCGGAGTTAAAACAGTTAACAGTTAACACTCGAAATTAGGATTCTTTTATGCTTATGTTTACCTAAAGGATATTTGTGTGTTGTGTCACAATCTGTGTATATGGATATGCAAATATTGGGTGTGTGTGTGGCTCGAGCAATTTGCACAACAAATAACGAGGAAATTAAAAACTCAAACGGAAACTAGAAACTGGAAGTGAAACTGAAACGCAATCGAGGTGTGGCTGTGGTTTCGGGATAACAGGAAGTCAGGAATCAGGAGGATGTGAGGATGAGGATGTGGAGGATTCGAACTCCGATTCGGATTCGTATTCGGATTCGAATAAGGGTGTTCTAGGTGGAACGTTGGCGTGTTTTGGATTCTTACGTGAGTCATGTTGGGTCTTCTCCTCAGATACCATCAAGGCGGCATGCTCGATGCCAGAATTCATACTTTGTGGCTCCAAGCTATTTGTGCAGTTTAGCATACTCCTGAAATTCGCACACTCTACGATTATGTTTTAAGTGTAAACGTATTTGGTAAATTTAATTTCTTTGCAACTAATGAGAGCAATTTCGAGAGTTTGTCTTGGATTTGGCTGTTTGTTTATTTGGTTTCTTGGTTTGGAGTTCAGACGTACAACGAAAGGATGGTCTCGCTTTGACACTTGACTTTCGGAGTGGAGTTCTCTGTAGTTAGTGTCTGAGGCTGCTTGGAAGTTATTAGGCGCGGCTTAGAAATCAAAAGTAAAAACGAAAAGGCAAATCAAAATGGTAACTAACATAACATTTATTGGTAATCAAACAGAAAACGTGAAATTAAATTGATTTAAACTAGCTCTAGTACTAGGTTGGAATATGGCGCCCACGTCCTCCGTCCCAGAATCTTCCAGGAATCACTATGAGTGGAGGTGGTTTTTGATATTTTTAAGTTATTTGGAAGCTTTTGACGGGTTGGTGGGTGTCACACTGGTTCTCTGGGGTGGAGATCTCCATTAGAGGAGCTTCACTGTGCCTTGGGGTGCGCGGAACTCTTGGCTTCGACCTCGCTCTGCGACAGCTCAAAGTCGGCGGTGGTGGCACTATTTTCGTTGGCATTATCCTCGCTATATATGTGGATATTCAAGAATCGGGCAACAAAATCAGTGTGCGTGTGGTGTGGCTGTGTGAGTGGGACTTATGTGGGTTTAGGGTGGACCACTTTAATGTTTAAACTAACCAATTTACTTCGTTAATGATCGATGAGGGGAACGGGGGCGCAATGACAGCGATTCTGAGTTATCAGATGACGTGATTGATTGGGCCAGAAAAAATGAGATGCGACTCTTAAGTATAGTAGTAAGTATAGGTAACGTATAGGCTATGCATAGAGAGAGTTTGAAAGTAGAGTATTAAAGTTGATATTAAATATTGGGTATTTATATAGTTGGCTAGTATGAGTCTTATTTAGTTTGCTTTTACGGCAGCCAGTAGTTAATGGGTTGTAGTTATAGTTGTTGTTGTAGTTGTAGTAACAAAGTAACGATTTTGTAACAAAGTACAGGCAAAGTTAAGCAAACATGCCGAAAAATTGATAGAAACTTTGAGCGCAGGAATTCACAATTTCGATTTGGTTAGGTTTCGTTTTGATTTTGTCGATTACAAATTGTACATAAAGTGGCTAAATAAAGTACAGCAATACGAGCTACGTTTAAGGTGGAAGTTTGAAGAGCGAAACGCATCGGATTGGGTATATGATTTTGATTTTGATTTTGGATATTCGATATTGGGTCATTTAGATACGGAGTTTAGGAGTCTGATCGACCTCGATCGTCTGCGGTGGCTTCATGCAACTTACCCGTACAGTCTACTATCTCGAAAGGTCCTTGGGGCATACATGGAACGTAGTTCAAGGCAGAGGGTTATTTTCGAACTCATGGTGCATTACAAACAGAAGAGAACAAAATTTCAAAACGGAAAATCAAATCAAAACTTCTTAACCCTGAACCCTGAACCGATCCGCGGGCCTCGGTTCACTGGATCAGGGGCTATGCAAACCGCATAATAAACTTCCAAGTAATGGTAATCGTTTTCTAGTTCGGGGTTCGCGGTTCTTGTGTTGGCGCAGGGCCGAGTTCAAGTTATGAGCTGAACAACTGTTCGACATATTGCCATGATTTGTGTGCAGAATTTGAGCTGGGAAGGGGGCGAGTGCAAGGACACATACCTGCCGTTGTTGTGCCGGAAGAGGGCCAGGATCTCCTCGAAGGTCTTGTTCTTGGTCTCGGGCACCTTCTTGTAGGTGAATATCCAGAAGATGGCCAGGAACACGCTGAACGGCAAGAACGTGTAGTTCTCCAGGGCAGTCTGTTAAGGAGATATTTTAGGGGTAAGAGCTTATATGATATAGGGGTAGGAATCCTTCACTCACCTTCATGCTGGGGAAACCAATGCCGACCACAAAGTTGGCCATCCAGTTGACCAGCACCGCAATGGCCATGGCACTGGGCCGTGGGCCCTGGGAGAAGAGCTCCGCCGTGATCATCCAGGGAATCGATCCGGGACCCACCGCGAAGAAGACCACGAAGCCGAGGGTGGCCACCACCGAGAGGTAGGACATCCAGTCGATCATTTCCTGCACATAACCAAAGAACTCCTATACAAAATGCATAGTACTCGCATTCTCGATGTAGGCTTTTCCTCTACTCGCGTTTAACGAACTGTCTCCGAAATAATACGGCTAAATGATGTACAACCCCCGATAAACCTGATCTGTTTTATGCATGAGTTGGTTAGACTATATAGAAAGTGGTAGTTGGAAAGTAGTAGTTGGCTGGTCTCGTTTTCTTGGTTCTCAAAGAGTTGACCGCTGAACTGCCGCTCGAGTCTTTCTGGGTCTGAGAATGCTTAGGAACGCTTGCTTAGTTTTACGTAAAGTTAGCTATATCTTACACGGTTACCAAAAACAGAAACAAAAACTTAAACGGAAACGGAAACAAGAGGTTAACTTAAGGCTGAGGTCACATTGAGTGTGTTTCTGTGTGTGAAAGAGAGCTTCGTGTGTGAGAGGTGGTGACCTCTAAAGCGAGTTCAGCGCGGTGCTCTGCTCTATGGGTCCCCCGCATCTTTCGGGGAGCTGGTGGAACTGGTGCCCGGAAAACTTTTGCAGAGTTGTGTGTTGATTTTTGGTTTTTCGAAACTTTTGCTTGCCTTTGAAACTGTGTGGATTGCTTCTAGCGAGTAAAAAAAGCACACAAAACATAAATCATAAATCACAAATCATAAACAGAACAGAACAGAACGAATTCGTCAACCGATTTCGAGTGAGTGTTTTGTGGGGCGAAAGCCTGTCAAGTCGAGAATAGCTCTAATTGAGGGGCGGGACGGTTGCACCAGGGGGCTGGTCGGAAAGTTTTAAGTCAGGAACTTGACTTATACGAAGAGACATGCCAAGTTTCTGACTTGGTCCCAGTGCTAGGACCAGCTCTCAGGTGCAACAACTTAGCCTAGGCAACTGAAGAACGGAACACATCTAAAGGCAAGCCACGTGCAAAGAGTGTATGAAAACTACTAAATACGTAATAAATAAAGTTCATAAGCTCATTACTAAAACAAAGGCATTCCAAAGCGAGTCATGCATGTGCCACAGTCTGCGTAAACATATTCTAAATCGCAGATAGAGGCCATAATTAATAACTGAAGCGGCCAAGTGCTGGCCTATAAATTAAGCACACAACGTCAATGGCTTAAATGCAATACATCAACGCAGGCACGGTAAATGGGGAAAAGGAAAGTGGAGAGTGGAGAGCGGGAAAGGGAAACTCAAAAAAGCTACATTTAATGGCTGAGGGAGAGTCATAAATCCAACTCGTTATAAATTCAAATATATCTCACATCAATAATTTATAGAAATACGCGCGGGACAACTGTCATGCTCTGTATCTGTTGTTGTGTTGGTGAGTGTTTTGTGTTTTGAGTTTTTCTGTGTTTTTTCTTGTTTTTAGGGCTCCAAGGGGTTAAACACAACTTCATGCATAAAATATTTATATCAATATTCAAATATTTATAAACACACGCACTCGTTCGGGAGCAAACGGGATACGGCATTCGGGGTACGGGGTACGGGAAATGGGATAAGTTCTAGCGCCTCTGCAAGTTCAGAGTCAAATGCAAATCCAAATTGCTAGGACTAAGTGGACGGGGGATTAGCAAAGGCAAACCCAAACTGGCAGGCACTTTCTAGCATTCACATTCGCAGGCATTACTTTACAGGAGCACGAGCATCCTGGACACCCCTGTACTTGCCTTGATCAGGAACGAAATGGTGATGAAAATGGAGAAGATGAACATTCCGCCCAGGCCATAGAGGTGCAGGGTCCGGCGACCCGTGCGATCCATCAGCGGAATGGAGACGAGGGTCATGACAACCTGCGGGTGATTAATACATTAATGTTCTGATTTGGCTTGGAACTATTATTAGGGGCGGTGTCTGGCAAAGTAGGCACTTGATTTAGAAGGCCTACCATTATGGCGCCGATGCCTATCGTGGCGAACTTGGCGCTCTCCTCAGTCAATCCCGAGCTCATGAAGAGCGACGTGGAGTAGTAGAAGACGGCGTTGATGCCGCTGAACTGCTGGCTGAGCTGCATCACGATGCCGATGATCAAGGGGGGACGCAGGGTGGGCGAGCAGATCAGCTCCATGGTCGATATGTGGCTCTCCGACTGCTGGGCTCGCTCCTCGGCCCGCATCTCCTCGATGTCCTCCTCCACAGAACCAGAAGCTCGCAGTCGACGCAGGGCTAGAAGATACATTTTCCATGAATATTTTCATGTCTAAGAAAGTTATGTAACCCACCCTTGCGCGCCTCCTCCTCCCACTGCTTGGTGATGAGCAGATATCTGGGCGACTCCGGGCAGACGGGGAGCAGAATTAGCTGCAGGATCGCCGGGCAGATGGCCAGGCCCAGGAGGATGGGCCAGCCCTCGTTGGTGCCCAGGATCTGCTCGATGCCCAGCACTTGGGATAATAGTAAACCTACAGTCACAGCCAATTGATTAACAGTACCTAAGCCACCGCGCAGATTCAGTGGCGCTATCTCCGAGATGTACATGGGCACCAGCGACGTGTTGAGGCCTGGACAAGATCCATTAGTAAGCTACTAAAGCAAGCAGTGGCTAGCCATTACTCACCGCAATTAACACCAATTATAAATCGGCCAAGGAATAACATTTCATAGGAATGACTAACTTTGGTAAATCCCATCAAACAGGCGCCGGCAATTCCCAGCACATTGTTTAACAGTAGGCCGCCTTTTCTGTAAATTCATTTGCAAAAAGAAAGTTTTTCTCAGTGCAAATGAAAGGGAGCAAAGATTGTTTTACCAACCTGCCAAAGCGGTTGGCCATCCAGCCGCCGCTGAAACCGCCCAGCATACCGCCGATGGCGAAAATGGAGACCGCCACCGAGTAGAGCTGCTGGATGAACTCCTCGCTGATGTCCTCGCCGTAGCGGTCCTTGTAGACGTCCTTCATGAAGTTCTCGATGTTCTTCTCGGGCGCATTGATCACGCCGGTGTTGTAGCCGAACTGCAGCATGCCCAGCACCGCCGAGAAGATCGAGTAGGTGAGGAAGAAGGTGAGACCCTGGAAGGTTCGATAGGTAATACCCATTAGTGGCGAACGACTCTCTGGGTGATAGGGGGCGGGACGGTGGGGATTCGGTGGGGGCTGTGCGGGCGGGTCCATCAAACGCTTTGCAAACGAGTGTGCGGCAAGGAAACCGAAGCTTTCTCTTTGGATAAGGCCAATTCTCTAATCGAAACTCAGGGATAACGAAACCAAAAGCTAAAGTCTGATGAATGAGAGTGTTGGATGTTGGAAAACAAACTTAAAATCGAGAAATCAAACAAAATGAATATATATTTCGGATTTATTTATTCGATTTCCGCTACAAAACATAAGAAATAAACAGTCGCAAGTTGCTTTAAAATACGTTGATGAAGAAGCCGTCTGTTCGTGTCTCCAGTACACTCAGAGAAATCTTGGTTAAGCTCTGAAAAGAGCTTCAAATTTCTTTGAGTGTACACAAAAACTGAAAGCAATCGGAAGAGCATTTGCATCTGTCCATCATGGTGGCAGTTTTTGCTGTCAGTGGTTGAGTGTGGCTAGGTGGATGGATGTTCGGGTGGTTTTTGGGTGGTTTTGGTCGTGTGGTTGTCTGGTTGTCTGGCTCTGGGTTGGTGGTTGTTGGTTGTTGGTTCTTGGTGTTTCGGTTTGTACATGAATAGAGAAATGAAATTCAAGTATTTAATTACACAACATGGCAAATAATTTAAGCTACAAACTTGTTCTAAAAGTCTTAGCTTCCGTCTGTGCGTGTGCTCCTCCAGTCGGTCCACGTATTCGCGCAGCTCCTCGATCTCCTCCTTCACCTGCTGCACGGTGTCCAGCTCGTGCTTGATCGCCACCATGTCCCGCTTCACCTGATTATTCATATAGATCGTTTACAAAGCCTTTCAGATAGATCTCAGACTGCCAACTCACCTCGGACACTTCGCTCTGGCAGCTCTCCACGGACTTGGTCAGCTCCTGGAGCTGCGTGCGGATCTCGCACAGGGCGACCGTCGTCTCCAGGTGTCGATCTCCCCGCTGCAGCTCATCGAGTTTCGCTGACAGATTCATGCTCATCACGCTAACTTGCTTTTGCAAACTGTGGGTCATTGGGTGGGTCATGGGTCACGCCAGGAGTCGGGTTACATTTAAGAGGTGCGCAGCCAAAGAAAATATCAAGCAAAATGCACTTTAGTCGGACGCCGGTCGGGAAATGCCTTCGAGTTCATTCCTTAAAGTACTTATTCCACTACGAGACTGCGACTGAGACAGAGTTATTTAGCGTATACGTAATTTATTTCGCTCTGGCCCAAAAGCAAACACAAACTCAAACGCAAAGGCAAAGGCAAAACGTAAACGAAACACACAAAACGAAATTATTTATGACCGCTTGCATTAAAATTTACTGAGCTATGCAATTATTGAGGAATGAAGCAACATAAATTTTATGGGCCACAGCTCCAAGCTGGGAGGCACAAACAGAAGCAGAAACAGAAACAAAAACTGAAAGCTGAGAACAGAAAACAGAAAACAGAAAACGCACGCCAGTTGCCGAGTTCCTTAGTCACTCAGCTCCTTGGGCAGAAGTCCAGGAAAGGATTTCTGTGTTGGGCGGACCGAGAACAACAATAATAACCGAGCCAGGCCACTAAGTACATAAAAAGTAACTTAAAGTAAATTGTTGGCATATTTCGTTAAGGTTAAGGCAAGAGTAATGTACAATGCACGAGAATGAAAAGTTGACGGCATTCTATATATATATATATATATTCTCAGCCCGGCTGAGCTCTGAACTCTGGCCCCATTTATTTGGCTTTTCGGCTGGCAACTCTTTCAGAGAGATAGACCCTGTCAGAGCTGTGGTTCTAATCCTGTTTACATCTAGCTCCCCTCTCGAATGCATCAAATTTACATTTTCATCGGCCGCAAAAGCCTGTGAAAACAAATCAGATCTGCTTTTTGCACTGCAGCCAAAGTTTTGGATCTGAAAACAAGGCTTACGAAGTTGCTTTCCTTATAAAAAGCTGTTGTTTTGTTTCATAAAAGTTGAACTACTTTTTAATCTATTCCAAAATTGTGTTCTTTATGGATTTAATAGCTCCTGTAAGCTTCTTCTTTATAATATTTTGCTGTTAGTGTGCATAAAGTTCTGTTGGAACAGCTCGACTCTATCGGATATCTGTTCGCATCGGAAGATGCACTTCGCTTGTTGTTTTGTTTGTTTGGGGAGGCCTCTAAATCAAATGGCAACAAAAGTGGTGGGCGACAGTTGCCAGCGGATGGCAATGTGCCGATATAGATATAGATATAGATATAGCTATATGTGTGAATGGAGGCCCATAGTCGCTCACAATGCGCATACGACACGTGGGCCGTGCTTGAGTTGCCTGCGCATTATGTTAATGCCACGCTGCAGGAGGGGGCAGGCTGCGGGGGATTGCTATCGTTAGTTCTGTTATTGTTTTGCATTTCACGGACATTGTTGTGCCGAGCATAAAAGGATTATTTTATGCATACATCAGCCAAGCCAGCGAAACCGAATCCGAATCTGAATCAGAATCCGAAACAGAATCGAGAGCAAAGCCAGAACCAGGACGAGCGATTCGAGCGCATCCTGTGCAAGTTATTGTTCTCTGCGAAAACAATTGCTCTGTGTACGTGTTTACGGGGGTGTGTGTGTGTGCTTGTCAGATGCAGGAATTTTCGGTTTTGTGTAAGGGATTTGTATACGTGAGCATTTAATAAATTTTCTGCCAATTTCTCCCCGGCTTGTGCATTCATTAAGGGCTGCAGTACGTGTGTTCCGGCGGCTAAAAGGATTCCAGGATCCCATTCGTGGCTGTTCATTTTGTCAAAAAGCTGCGCGCAGTTTTAGGAATATCAAATTTTTGACGAAACAAAAGCTGCCATGCCCTCAGCGGATTATCCTTTTGGCAGGATTTCAATCACATTAACCCTCCGAAAGGTCCCCGGCCAGAGTTCGGCAGCCGTCAACGTTCAGACTCGCTTCACTTACAGACACAGTTCAGTTCAGATCTCAGTGCACACAATAAATTCAGCGAATAAATTAAAATCAAAATCAATTCTTGTTGTACATCTGACATACATTTACAGCTATAGCTGTATGTAAGGTACATCAATCAGATCGAATCGGGGATATCGGGGGAAGTAGGGGACAGTCGGGATATCGGGATATCAGGATATCGGGGTGTTCAAACCAATTGGCATATAGGACATTCACCAAACGTTGCAAATTCTTGATTTTCAGCCTGTTTTTGTCGACTCTCATAAAGTTTTGCTGGAGCCCGCGTATCGTCGGCATTTGTAAATCAATTAAAATTTATTTGCGGCCTCGTTGATTTCGTTTTGCAGGGCAATATTTAATGATTGGCGTGATTAAGATTTTGTTTGGATTATGACATTGTTTGATTTCGCTTTAAGAACAGATATATGCAAAGCCAAAATGAACGGATGAACGGAAAACAAATGTTGGTAGTTTCTGGTTGTTGCAGTTTTTCAGTTTTTCAGTTTAACAGTTACAGTTTTTCTCTTTTTCAGTTTTTCTTTTGTCAATTTGGTTAATTTTGGTGAAGGGACCGTTACGCCAATTAGTCGGGGTTCTGTTTGTATGCAAACTCTTAAACATCGAGCATTAAACCATAAAAAGTGTACAGTAATTCATTGCAGCAACGAAACAAATGGAACCGAAAGCACGAGCAACACAAATGGCGGGGGGGAGGGACATTTAACGAGTTGAAAAATCCTGAAAATATTGTGTGACTGTCTGACTGACTGACTGACTGAATGATGCATTGGGCGGGGATTACGCACAAAAAGGGTTTTTCGGGGTTAAGGGGTTAAGCTAATTATGAACTTGATGACATGCAGGAGGAGGGAGATGTTGAACAGACAGAGAAAGAGAGAGAGAGAGAGAGAGAGTGCTGCTGAAGTGGCCAACCGCAGGCTGATTGACTGCCTGGCCAAAGGATGTTTGTCAATGGCTTTACATGGCTGTGCGCGAGTGTGTGTGTGTGTGGTGCGAACAGCGACTTAATGGCCCTCAAACACTTTTCGGCATGTCGTAAAAAACACAACATCCCAGCAACCGCACAGAGAAAAATAAATCATTTTGACTGGAGTTTACACTCTTGGATGCAGAAGCTAAAATTCAGTTTTTTAAGTTCTCATTTCGATAGTTTTTTGGTTTATCTACTATTTTGAAGCATACTTTTAAGCGCATATTTAAAGGCTCATCAAATTGATGACATAAATCATTGTTTATAGTTAATATTCCTTTATTTGGGACTAAATTATACTTCTAATATGTTAAACAGACAGGTAAGTTTATATAATTTAAGTAGTTTTTAATCTGTGCTGTTAAAAACAGGAGAATTTTGGGGTTTTTAGAGATTCGCACTAACATCAGCACTTCTATCAGCCTCTCTCATCCCTCTCTCTCTCTCTGCTTTCCCATTCAGATGACAAGCACGTTTTGGAAACTAAATTAATTTATTTGAACATAATTGAATTCTAATTGCGTACCATGCAAAAGGGGGAGCAGAGTGTCTGGTTTTCGGGCAAATATTCTAATAATTAACAAATCAATTTGATGGGCTACGAGTGCCAGAATAGAGAGCAGTGCAAATGCAGAGAGATAGAGAAGAGGGGGAGATTATTATTGCATTACAATATGACGGGGGATAGAGTAAAAATATTTAGATTTCGTAATTGAAGTTAGTTGGTTGTAATTGCATACTCATTGAGTGGCGTGAATACCAGGCCACTTTGCGTGTGGCTTTTGTTGTTTTTCGGTGGTTGAGTTGTTGTTGTTCATGGAGTTCATGGAGTTCATGGAGTTATTGTGGCAGTTTTAGTGGTTCAGGGGCAGTTGGGAGTTGGATGATAAAGAACACGTATAGACATTGTACAACATGTGAGGCAGAGGGGTTGTAGGTGCACGCCAGAAATGCATTTCGATGCTTCTTCAGAGTTACCCTCAAGACATGAGGCCTTTCCCGAAATGCATTTCTGGTAGTTGCAGACATAAACACAGAAAGAGATAATACATAAACGGTATATACCAGGGATGAATAACAATAGTCTTGGTAAAAGGACTTTAAGGTTCCTTCTTCTTCTAGCATAGACCACTTACATTTTGATTGCTTGGCTATCTTTACACTACTGTATTGATTGTCGATTTATCTTGGGCGATTGCACTTTTGTTTTTCATCCGCAGTACATAGCCGAGTGATTGACAGGTAGTGTGGGAATGAAATTACAGACACATGTGCTCAATCACTCGGTGACAGTTAAGCAAAGCAAATACGTTCGATTGAGTTGCAATTTTGTACAGCGCGTGACATGGCGACAAAGGCGGTTTTTGTGAAAGCAAAACGCCAGCGCGAAGGCAAACAAATGCTGCTAATTAACAATTTTTAATTAACGATGAGAAGCCATTTAAAATTACACGAACACAATTATTAATAATGAGGCGCACACACACACAGACACAGTCAGCGTGACTGATGGGATGATGTTTAATGGAACGAAAGAATGAAACCAAACTTTGTGCTTTGCATACATGGCGGATGAGTGATGTTCGAATTGTTTTTAATCGCATGGCGATCTGTTCGCTATTGTTATTATTATTATTATTATTACATTTACAGTTATGGTTATGTTTAATGTTTAAAGTTAAAGTTAATTAATTTTTAGATTAACTCTATGGGTATGTACCTGGGTGGCATTGTGCCCATCATTTTGTTGGCTTTTGTTTGGACTCCTTTGGTAAATTGATTGGCTATAGTTAGAGAGTCTCTTTTGCTATAATTATGTCTCTAGTTTAGTGGTTATACTCTCTGGCCACTCTCTGTTCGGGGTTTGGTGAATGTCGTATGTGGCCGCGGCTGAGCTATTGGGGCTAACGTATGATATCTGTTCGATTGGGTTGTCGGGAGGGTTGCAGGTTGCAGGTTGCAGGTTGCGCAACAAAAACAACACAACACAAAGGCCCTCAATGAATAATTGACAGTCTAAGGACACACGCAGGACACTTAACTGAACATAACTTGCGCAAATCTGTGTGGGAGGAGAACATTAAACATATACATTGCATATTTGCTCGTTAATATATCACAGGCCATGGGTAGAACCAAAAAACAGGAAGTAAAGAGTAGGCCACAGTAATGGCACACAAAAGCACACAAATTAAACTGGAAATTAAAACTTATTTACGCCCGAACTAAAAACATATCGTTCGTTATTTGTTTAATAAATTAAATAAACATGGCGCACACAAATAATTGCTGTTTATTTGTCTAACTGAAAGCGGATATTTATGGCCGGCCATCCAATCCCCCGGTCGCGCCTGCAAATTAATGGCCCGTAATGAGCTCCTGGCCCCGGAAAGCCACCGAGTCCATTACGAGGTCACTCGTCCGCTGCTGCCAGCGGATCAGGGGGTCATGGCGGCTGTTTGGGCATCCCCGAATCCGTAGGGATCCACCAAGTCTACGTACTCGAGCAGCAATTGGCGCAGTGTGGCCTCGTCCTCGCCATGACATCTCAACCTAGACTCGCGGTCTCGATCATCCCGACTCGAGTGGCGCTGCCTCTTGGGGGCGTAGCTGAAGGAGTGACGATAGAACCTTCCGTTGTTTATGTTGGCTCCGCGATAGGCGTCTGTGGGTTATCTGGTTATAACTTTGATCTTGTTGAAGGAAGCAAAAGGACTCCTTTGGGAGAATACCCACCTTCGGGTCGCAAACGCACCGGCGGTGAGGTCAGCTTGAGTTGTGTTGACGTTGTTGTGGGCGGAGTCTTACGTCGACCACCAAAAACATAATCGTAGGAATCTTCGCTCAAATTGGACACTGCCAGGCAGGGGGAAAGTGTTTTAGAATTACATTTGGGGGGAAATTTACACTTTTGGGGAGGCAAACAAAAGACAAAAGACAGGGGGAAGGCACAAAACTAAACCGAAATGAAACTTAAACTAAACCGAAAGCTGTTTGTTTCTCTTCTCGTTATCTCGTATACTCACTCTAAGCATTATATACATACAGTATATAATATATACGGATTTATATATGATACACAAATATTGTTAAAAATAAGACAAACATCAAAATAAACATAAGAACCAAGGTAAATATTTCGATTGTCGAGATTTTGTCATTTTCATTTTCATTTTCATTTTGTTGTTGTTGTTGTTGTAGTTCGTTGTTTTAGTTGTTGTTGTTGTTGTTGTTATTGTTGGTTTATTATGGAAGAATAGAGAGCACAAAATGTGGCAGATTGTTAGCTGGATTTCAATTTTCACAGTGGACAGCACAGACAGCACACACAAAAAGGCAGCTAAAGTGGACACACAGTAAGTCTGGCGTTCAAAAAACGTTACAAAGCGGCTGTCGCAGCAGTTTTTGGTTTCTTTTTCTAATACAAATTTTTGGGTTTCGCTCTAATAAACAATTTCCAAAAAGAAACACACACAGCAGCGTTGAAAACTACTTGGAAAATTCGAAACTCGAAATGATTTCGATCTGTGGCAACGCAAACAAAAACTGTTATTTTATATAGTCAAAAAGTGGCAATACAAACGGCAAGCAAATATATAGAACTAGACAAATAGAGAGAGAGAGAGAGATAGAGAGAGAGAGAGAGAGAGTGTGTGTGTGAGGGAGAGAGAGAGAGAGAGAGGCGACTGCGATATATATTAATGGACGACTGTTTGACTGATTGGTTTTTGGCTGATTGACTGATTGATTGATTGACTGAATGCTGCTGTGAATGCCAAACAAAAGTTAGGGACAAAATGCGGTTCTCCGTGGCAATGTTCGAGTGTGGCTAGTGGTGTGCGTACAGGGCGGCACCCGTACAGGTGCACTATGAGCTCGTGTTCATGTGATGTGATGATGTGCAGGCGTATGAAGGTGAATGTGTGTATGAAAGGAAAATAAATCAACGAACCGACCAATCAAAGAACCCAATCTACACACCAATTAAAGTTGCAATCAATTGGAAATGGCACAACGAAAAAACAAGAAAACGAAAAACGAAAAACCAAAAACAGAAAAACAGAAAAGAAAACCAAATAAGAATTTTCACAAAAGGTGCAACAGTAACTTTATAATGGGCGGAAAAAGCTACACAAAAACTCTGGCAAACTCAACGGAAAACCAGGGAAAAACAGGGGGAAATCAGGGAAAAGGGAAACAAACAAAAAACGCCCAAACAAGGGGCAAGAACTGCAGGCAAACAACGAGAAGAACAAATACAAATTGGCGCATATATGTATACACTCTCATATAGCAGATATGTACATATGCGGAAAGTAATTCAAAATATTCAAAAGATTCGAAAAAAAAGTCCGAAAATAATTGACGGGCACCTGGAAACACGCTCAGCGGCTGGAGCACTTGGGTGGAACGCAGTGGCGGCGGTAGCGGGGGCAGCTGTCCAAACGGATCTTGGTCGTTCGAGATGGAAGACGTGGGCGGTGAGATCATCGATAGGTCACCAATGGTCGCCATGTCATTACTCTGGCCAGCTATTTCATTGTGATTTGTCGTCGAATAGAAGAGAAATAGAGAAAGCGACATGAGATTAGTAGAAAAAAACAGTTTATTATAAGTATAAAAGTTACAAAGATATTCCCAAGAATTATTAAATACTACAGGACCCCCTGATTTCCCTCAGTGCAGCGACTTGGCTGCATTCAATAAGAGTTCCGCAGGACTCGTTGGGACTGGAAGTGGAGCATGCAAAGGCTTTTAATTTTGTCCCGCACGTGGCAGGTTGGCCACAAACAACGCCAAAGGAAAAGGGCAAGGAAAAGCTGAAGGCAAAGGAAACGCCGGAGAAAAGCCAGGTAGCGCAAAGTAAAAGGTGTGCGGCGCCATATTTCGCACATAAATTGTATGCCAGCTCCGGATCCCCGGGTCCGGTTAAGAGGACCAAGGACCAAGGACGAACGATAAAGAAGGACGCAGGACGAAGGGCGAGGCTGCACGAGATGGCGTCGCATGCATGGATGCATACGCAAAGCATTTACGCCAACGCCTCGACAGTCACAGACCGGAGAAAAGGAGAAGAGGATTGTGGGAAGAAGGATGGGGTCCCGGGGGTCCCGCCCTTATAGCCACATATGTGGGCAGGCGATCTGCAGGATTTGGCCAGGCTGCGTGCCACTGCATAAAATAGATTTCCATTTTGATTCGCTGGCAGGGTTTTCCCTGCTCAGATACCTCGTGATGAAGGGTTTTCCGGCTTTCTTTTCTTTATTAAAAAGTGCTTACCTATGCATCGCCATTTTAAATATTTACTCCCTGATCGAAGATAAAACGAGAAATAAACTAGATTTGTTATTAGTTTCAGCTGGTTTCCTCCTTAAAAGCCTTCTTTATGCTGTCTTCATGGACATTTGCATGGTTCAACCTGCAGTCCTTGCCTTGGTTCCCGGCAAAAGGATCAATTAAGGCTCAATGGCAGGCAACTTGGCCTGGGAAACCCAACACAGTTTCCCCCCTTTGCCGTAGTGTACTATTTTTTCTCCATCTATTCCACTTTTTTCCCATTGGCCATATGTAAACCTTTGCAGGACTTAAAAAATGCCTCGTTGGCTGCGATAAATGTGCCCATGGCTCCTCGTTGTTGTGGTTTTGCCTTAGGTCTGCCCCCTCCCTAACCACCCACTTAAGCCCCACACACACACACTATAGTTGGCACACAACAACAACAACAACAACAACAACGGCAACACGTGCTGCTTTTTCTACGGTTCGGTATTTTGAATTTTTATTATTTGCAATTTGCGTTAATGTTGTGGAAAAAAGCATGTGGCTGTTATGGCTTTGGCTTTAGCTCATGTCCTTCTTCTGTTCCCCCGCCTTCCTGCACCCTTTCTTGGCATATTGAATGGCCATTTGTGTCACACACACACACAGGCACAGACACTCACACACTTGTGTATACACGCACACACTAATGACCTTTTCATGGCCGCTCCATCCAACGGATGAATGCAAGAAATGTGGGCAAATTATGGGCCCGATTCAGGGCTCAGGAGGAGGATCCTCCGCCATTTATCCCTTCCTCGTTATTGACAAAATGATTTGTAAACATTTTGCGCATCATTAGTTGGCACTGCTCGGAAGATATGGCCTGCATTGCCTGCCTCTTCCCTGGAATCCAACCGATTAAAATCGTGCATGCAGCAAGGAAAGGAGCAGGGGTAAGGCTTCCCATGAACACGGTGAGAAAATAGACAATATATGTTATGGTTTATATAATATCTAAGGTAGCTTACTGCATTTCCTTATCAAATCCCCATTTCTAATACTTCTATTCATGGGTAAACGTTTTCTATCAGAATAAGCCTTGTTTTAAGAATTTCATTCTAAACAAAGGCCATTACATCTCAAGATGCACTTGCAACCGATTGGTAATTTCTTTCTCTGTGACCTCCTTGCACCTGCTTAATGCTAAACTCTTTGCTGACACCGCAAAAAGAGGCAAAATAAAAGTAAACTGCTTCCGGCTTCAATTGCATCAATGGAAATGGACAGGACGAAAGGAAGGAGTTGCCTTCGGAGAAACGAAGGAGGAGGAAAGGTGGAGGCCTCGCAAATATTTGCTTAAATTTGTGCTGAGGTTAAGCTTTTTGTTTGCCTTGCCTTTGCGGAGGCTCTCGGCCGAGCAAAGTTGATGACATCCAATGGCCTCCGCCGCAGTCTGGGGCAGTTGCATCCATGTCCTGTGTCCTATGTCGTATGTCCTAAGTCCTGTGTCCCCTGACATAGAAAAATAGTTGCGGAGAAAGGCACAGAGAGAAATATGAAAGAGCCGGGGTGGACCAGGGGCGAGTCCGGGGCAGAAGCTGCGTTTTGACTGCATGCCAAGGCTGATACTCCACTGACGATGCTGATGACGCAAGCAGTCAACCATGCGAATGTGTGTGTTCGGGCATTGAGCAGTTATTCATGGGCGGGGAGAGTGTGTAAGTGTGTGAGTGCTGGCTCCACACACAGAAAAATATAACAAATTTCGCAAGCCATATAGTTTGTATGTTTGTATGTAGGTATGTCGCAGACATAACCTGCTAGAGTCCAAACTTTATAGCCAATCAAGATGGAAGCTGATAAAGTCAAAGAGCCAAAAGTTATTAGCCAGGATGCCACAAAAAGGCTTCAGGATTGTGCCTTGCTTGCTCTAGTTTTGGAAAATTCTTTCGATTGATATTTAAGTGCCTTAGATATTGGCTTTTCCCCTACTATATGAGTGAAAATACAAAAGCTTAGGTCAGTTACTTAATTTAAAAATATTTTAATTAATTATTTATCCTATTTGTGCTTTTATTTCCTTGATGAATGCCTTCTCTCAACATACAAATAACTTTCCATTCAGGTTTTATGAGGGCATCTCGAAAAGTAACTTCTTTATCCCTTAACTTTTCTCAATGTGCACTAACTTTGAGCTCTGGCCATTGACAAAAGTTGCCTGCAGTCTCTAGACTGGCCTGTTCTGGCAGCTATGACAAGTGGCCTCTAACTGGGCCCACAGCTCGTCCTGCCCATCGGGAGTAATCGGGCAGTTTGCCATCTTTGTGGCATAATTCTAGGCTGGCCACGATAATTGATACCCTTTGTCAGCTCTGGACGGCAAATCAAATTAGCGAGCAGAATTGAAAACTTATTTATGCATGAGAGCCCGCTAATCATTTTTCGAGAGGGGAGTCATTTAAAATTCAATTAACTAGACGCCCAACCTGGAAGGGCTCCCCTTCCATTGTCCTTCGTTCATAGAGAGATATTCCGCCTATTCAGAGACATAATCATATACGAATTCAATGATGAAAAGCCTTTTAACTCGGCTTCTTCGGGGGCTTTTGTCTTAAACGATTTGTCCACTAAATGCATGATTGATTAAATGAAATAAAACCCTCTCAAACACACAAACACACGCATACAGGCACACGCACACCTGCAACCACAGATAGAATGCAGGATATTCGAGTTGCTGCCATTGCTGCTGTTGTTGTTGTTGTTGTGTGTTCATTAATAGGCTTTTGTCTTTGCTCACCGCAAAAATTATTGCTGCTCAAATGCACTTGAATGTGGCATTGTTTCGCCCTCTCCTCCGATTGAAGTGCATGCAGCTCAGACCGCAAAATCCTTAAATGCTGCATTAATGGCCACACACACACACACACTGGCACTCCGAAACCCTTGCCCAAGGATCGGGTAAGCCGAGTGACCTCACATCTGCCCAGTCCATCTCCTGCCCCCTGCCCCCTGCCACTGCTTCTGTCCCTGCCCCTCGATGATATCACAAATTAAATACACTTGCACGTTTGCTTAACTCGAAATTCAACAAATATTGAGAGGGGCATCGGACCGGGGCGTGGCAGCTGCAGGATAGCTGTGGATAGCTGTGTAAGCACGTGTCTGGGTCGAGCACTTGACAATCAGCACTCACAACAGCAGGCAGTCGACGGCACTGGCGAAAAGGATAGACCGACGGAGGATTCGAGATTCGAACAGTGGAACAAATTATGGCTAAATACAATATTTAGTCACTTAAAAATAATTATAAATAAATAAAATATTAAAAATATAAGATAAAATTAAGTCCATTGCGTAATTTTAAGATTATCTTTAACGTAAACTTAAAATTAAAAAAGGCTTTGCCTACTTTTAGGCATAAAATTAAACATGGAAGAGAAGGAAATAGTTGGCTTTTTCTTAAAGCATATAATAAATTAAAATAAAATCCATTTCAACAGCAGTGCACCTGCCAACCATTGTCCCACCATTCACCAGATGGGCCTCCCAGCTTGTCTTGGCTGTTGGCTTTTGGGATGCCGATGCCGACGACGATGCCGCCGCCATTGTCATTGCTTGTTGCTTTCGCAAACCTGCCACAGCCCGCATTCCGCATCTCCTGGATCCTCGAAATCTTCGAGGAATATTGACAGTGCGGGCAGCTGTTAATACAAGGCAAACTCTCCATTTTCGGCTTCCATCTATCCATCCGTAGCCGTTGTTTTCGTTATTCTCGACCAGAGTTTGCACGTATTATGGCATGTGTTTATTTGCCAACACCCCCGCAGGCCCAGCTGGCCCTGCCCCATTGCTACAGTGCCCCATTGCCCCGCTAAAGCATCCGCATCATTATATGGAGCACTTAAAGGGACATAACTGTTGCAGCACACACGGCGTATGATTAATTTCAGCGCCCGCAATCCATCAATGAAAAAGTTTGGGACCATATCGCTTCATGCTTCATGCGGCAGTTTAAGCATAACGATCTGACATTTTTCACATTATTAAAATCACTTGCGAACGAAGAGTGACGAGCGCGGAAAAGTTTAATGGATAAAATATCACGCATACGCAGCGTATGGCACGTTAAGAATGATGTTCGCCATAAGTGCAAACCATTTCCTTATAATTTTTACTGCAGTATCGAGACATGATGTATGGGGGTATCGGGCAGAAGGAGAGACTCAAACAAACGGAGACTTACCGGTGCACATAGGAAAGCCATTTCGTTGCCAGTCCCGTAAAAAAAATGTGAATTATCCCACGTTCCTTCGATTGCTGACTAAAGAACTTTCGGACTCGGACTCCAAATCCTCCGCAGTCAAATCCAATTCTCGACCGACGTGTCTTCTTAGCCTTCCTTTCTGGCACAGCTGCTGGCGGATTGCGCCTTTTGCCTTCCTGGCAACTGGCAAATGATAAAAACTGGCGACGCACTGCTAAAAAATATGCATTTTTAATGCCATAAATTAGTTTTGTCGTTTGCCGAACACCGGGGAGCTGCAAAGAGAGAAAAGGCGAAAGAAATGAGTCAGAGTTGCGGGGATAAAGCCAGCTCACCGCTGCACACTGCAGCTTTTTAACGTGGAGCTTACTCTCAAAGGGGACTGTATATTATTAGCACTAATACCTGATTCCATTAGCACACCAGCTTTCATTTCGCCTTAAGCCAGAGTGTTTCTCTTTATAACTCACAGTTTTGCTTAAGATATACTAACTAGAATATAAACTTAAAACTGCAAAGCAAACTGGTAAATCATTTTGATTTTCAAACTTAACAATACTTTTTACAGAAAAATGGAAATGAATATCGAGAGAACTTTTATGAACTTTTAAGTTCTTAAATAGTATCCAGCTTAATCAGTAGCTGGGGGAAATTCGCACTCTGCTAAAGGCTTTTCCCGAATTAATTTGCAATGTTTATTCCTGGCTTTAAGCAACTGGCTGGCATGCCAACCGGCAAAATCACACAACCGCATTTAAATTAATGCTGTCAGCACATCGGCGGGGGAACTTGGAGCCCAATCCCTGTCCTTTCCCCACAGGTGAAGGGCTGCCAACTGGCAAAAGTCAAATTAAATTCTATTTTTAGGCACCCAAATGCTGGCGAACCCGTCCGCTCCTCATTTCCCATTTCCCATTCTGCATTTTCCCCTTCGCAGCTTTGTTAATTACTCCATGAATTTGATAGTTTTCCATCAGTGCGGATCACACACGGGCCTGACGATGATGATGATGATTATGTGGAAAATGAATATGCAAATGGGGCACAACCGTGCGAACCGAGTGTGTTTAGGTGAGTGGTGTTTTGTGGCAGCGTGCAAGGCGAGAGCTCTTGAGTATATCAAATTTGGGGTTGTGGCCCACAGTTATGGATACCAATTAGAATCTGGTTATCTGGCATCTGGCATCGAGCGGAGCAGCGATTCGGTATACATCCGACGCTGAAGCGCAAACTGAACAAGGAAAGTCTCTTGCAGCCGAAATGAGCTGGAAAATGCGGAGGGGGCTGGAAAGCGAAACAGCATGCGATGAATGTGAGTGCACTGGAGAAAAAGTCCAAGATGATGCAGCTTCTCCTTATTTCCGCTGAGTACTTTCATAAAGAACGTTCGAAAACCCATTACTGCCGATTCTTTCATTTCTTGGAACATTTTTTGCTATGAAATGAAGATTGAGGATAGTTTTTCTGCGTGTAAATTAGTTGGCTCCGCATCTCGGCTAATGATGCGCATGATGTGGCGGCATTGTCCTCGTCGTTGAGCCCCCACTCCCCGCCCTTTTCATGCCCATCAACTTCACTTCATCAGCATCTGCATCTTCATCTGCAGGACTGCACTTCCCCGGCCTTTATACCGCATCGCAGGCTGGCTTGACTTGGCGTGGCTTGGATTGGATGGATGGTTGGTTGGTTGGCTGGCTGGCTGGATAGATGGCCTCCAACTGTGCGCTGCACCGCATGAAATTAATATTAATCGCAGCTATGCATTAAAGCCGCTTTTAGCTTCTAGATTTTCCTGCCGCCGCCCGTCGCATTTCCTTTGTTGCAATGTGTTTATTGTGAATTTTATTTATTGCTCTGCGGTCGTGGCGGTTATTAAAATTGCCACTGGCAATTTGTAATCATTAGGCATTCTCGCTGTCGCTGTTCTTGTCTCTCTTGGTCGTCCTGTCCCTCTCTACTTTGTACCCCCTACCCCCTACTCTCTACTCACTACTCTCTACTCTCTACTTTTACCGCTTTCGCTTTGCACACTTTTGGGCGCCCATTTGACAGGCGGCTGACAAAAGTCAGTGACATTCTACCCAAACTAATACCCATGCACTTATGCAAATCTCACACAGACACTCCAACCTCAAAAAGAGAAAGGGATGGGAGAAAGAGAGGGCGGGATGGCGGAGGAGAAGGAGACGGCAGTCGGGACAGCCTGGCACTGCCATTTGCACATTTACCCCCCGTACAGCCATCTCTCTCCCCCCCAATCTACCCCTCTCGCTCTGTCGTAGTTGTCGTGGCAAAATTTAAGTGGCCACTTGACTAAATTAATATGACACTGCAGCAAGTGCAAGTGGCCAGGACTCGTCCCCTCTCCCTCCCCCGCCCACTCCTAGCCTCCGCTCGTCCTGACTTTCGGCCAACAATATGAATAATTATGACGTTTATCTCCTGCACCTGATTTGCACACCGAAAGAATAAAGGAGGCCTTAACTGATGTCGCCTTAATCGCTGGTTAAGTCCGCTTAAAAGCGACGAGGAATTGGTTTTCAAGATTATGGGTTTGTGAAGAGGAAATCTTATTATGTAATCTGTAAGTCGGTTTAATGGATGGAGTAATACTTATTAGATAGTTAACTAAAAACAAACATTTGATGCAGTGATTGATACCTCAGCTTAAGCTTACTCCTTTAATCGATCAAAAATCTATTCAAAAACTGCAAGGCTCGCACTTCCTTTTGCTGAATTTGCGTCCAATAATTTGCCAAGGCATTCTACACCATCCCCAAGTATTCATCAGCACATGTGGCACCGTCTTCTTCTGTCAATTGCCTTAAATGCAATTTAATTTTCCACCTGATGTTGTCCTCTATGTAAGGCCTTTGCACTTACGTGTCCTTTCCTATAACAACAGAAGTACCAACAGGAAAACCCCTACGCCAAGAAGAAGAAAATGAGAAAATCCCAGCTGGATTGTCGCCGCTGCAAACTCATTTTTTTCCTTCGCCCAGCCTGCGTCCTTCGCTTTACGTCCCTTTGCCTCCTTGCCTCCTTGCCACCTTGCCACCCACTGGAGTGGCAGGCCAGCCTCCATTCAAGTTCCCTGGTCCTTTGCCCAGTCCTCCCCCTGTCCATGTCGGTGTCACACTTGGCTCGCAGTTTTGTGGCCAGGCCAGGGCTATGAAAATAACCATAAGGCAATTGCCCGGGCGGGTTGCACGATATCCTTCCCCTTTCAGCATCCCCCCTTCCACTGCGGTGGCACTCATAAGCCTTGAATGGTAAATGTCAAAGTTACTCCTCAGCGTAACATTCGACACATCGGGCGTTGAGGTGTGAGTGAGTCCCTGTGTGTGTTTGGGTGTGTGCGTGGATATGCTCATAAGTACAGTGAGGTCAAAACATGAAGGCTTTATGCTTATATTAACGATAATAAAAGCAAGGAAACTTCTTCTAAGGTAATAAAGACAAATAATTAAAAAATAATCTAAATTAAGGGCGCATACTTTTCAGTTTAATGTGATCCGAAATGGGAATATAATATTCCATTTTTATTCTTTAACCGCCATGGCCATCAATCTGATTCCCTTCTTATAACTTTAAAAGCCTTTTCCAGCGACATAGCCCTGTTTTCCCCCAGTGTACTTCAGGACTCCCAGCTTGGTCCTGTGCCCAGCCTGGATTACATTACACTAAGTTCTGTGCAAACACAGTTGGCGCAGTTCATTAACATGTTACATGGAGTTCAGTCGGTCTGGGGACTCGACTCCGTTCCACTTTGGATTTGGGACCTGGGTTGGAGACAGTGGGATGTAGGATGTAGGATGCTGGTTATGGATGTAGGATGCTCTTTGGGTCTGTGTTTGTCTGTGCAAATGTATGCGTAAGCACAATATGCCAGCCTATCTGGCTTTCTCAGTGCGATGCTGGGCGTGTGTGGGTGCGGCAGAGCTGTATGCTTTATGATTTCTTTTCCCATTTTCCGGATGCGGAAGTGTTGCCCCAGCAGCTGCCCCCTCCACTTGAGAGTGGAGGCGGCTCAAAGGCATGGTTTTTGAGTGTGTGTTTTAGTCTAAGCTGTACATTTAAATGTAAAGCATAAATAATTAACAGACCTCAGAGCTGGGCTCCCGAATGCAACTCGAAGGGCGGAACCTCTTCTCCTAATTAGGCGTTAAGGTTTCTAGATCATCATCAGCTCTATTCTCCAGTTAATTTGCAGTTTTAATGCGTTTTCCACTTGTGGCCAGTCGTGGATGGGGGCTAAACTTTTAACCGAAATAAGGCAGCTAGCCAAATTTCATTTCACAACCCGCTCTAGCCTCCCTTTCAAGCCCCTTCCCTTTTCCCATGGGCAGTTGCAACCAGCAGCCGTTGCATACTTTGCGGCGCAAACAAGACCAATCCCCAGTAGCCGCAGACCGGCCACGCCCCCTCACCATATATGTTGCACGTCAATGAGTCCCGAAACAAAACCCCAAAAACAACTCACACACACAGACGTCTGCCACACACTCAGACGGGGATATAAATATACACAGGGAGAAATCATAAACAGGAGAAAGTTTTTAAAGAAACTTCATACTTGAAACTTAATAGTAAGAAGAACAAGTTAATAGATTAATAAGTTAAAGTATTAACTAATTACTGAAGTAGATAAAGATTACTGGATTCGATTTTGATTTCCAAAATAAGACACTTCATTTTTTGTATGTGCATCGTTGGCTGGCATTCGTTGCAAGTCAGGCCTTAAAACTCGCAGCAATTCGTTTTAATGAATCCATCTACATCCACTGCCAGATCCACGTCGTCGTCCTTCATGCAGGCCACAGGATGCACTGGGAAATGGGAAATGGGAAATGGAGGAGCAGGATGTGGGGAGGTGGAGGCTCGGAGTGGTTGCATCTCTGGCCGGAGAGGAACTGATTGTATCAACTTCCTAAGTGGATTTTGCAGTCCAACTGGCATTAAGCTCTTGGCCGCAGGTAATTTCGTATGAATGAAAAGCAAAAGTCTGCCCCAGAACCAGAACCAGAACCAGAACCAGACTCAGCACCATCACCAGCCCCAGTCCCATTTTCCCATTTCCCAGTTTTGGTTTTCGTATTCTGCAGTGTTTTCTTGCGCTGCTGCAGTTTGTTCTGTTGCCCAGCGACAATGACACCAGCCTCAAGTCCTTAGTCCAATTTCTCGAATTTGCCTACAGTGGAGTCTCGAAAATGAATAACCCACAGTGAAGCTAAGCCTAAGCACACGGATGAGGAAGTTACGAAGTCATGTCTGG